AAAAAAAAAAAAAAAAAATGCCGCCTCTCTTATAGATATACAGAAGGAAAAATCTGGGAGAGATCATCAAGTTCTACCACACCAGTAGCAAGATCAACACTTAGAAGGAATCAAATTCCAGTCTTTTTTCACATGGGAGGAAAAAAACAAAAAACAACCCTAGTGGAGTTGTGTCCAGAAGGTTCCATCCAATGCCTACCTAACCTGTCATGGCAAAATCTCACCCACTCATCAAACCCCACCATCTCAGTTTCTTAGGCTTTCAAATATAGAAAACCTGAAAACAAAAGGGTTAGAGTCAAAGAGTAAAGCAAGTTCATGCTTTGATGGAGAGTCACACTGGCACTGTTGTCTGTGGTGGTGATGCCACCATTGCCTGTAGGGCCAAGGCTAAAAGTTGGACTATTAGTAGAGCCTGGAGTTGTAGTAGAGGGTGTATTGGATGAAGTGCTGTTTGGGTTGGTGGATGATGGGGCTCCTACATTGCTGAAAAACCACAAGAATGAAAACAACAATGAGATGAGCAAAAGACCACAGTGAGATGTTTATAATGATGAAACCATAGACTAGAGAGCACCACAACACAATCAACAGAACGACGTAGAAAAATTAAAACCAAGAGAGTTTACACTCTCCAACTCAAAAGTCTATATTCATGAGCCGAGTACAACAATAACAATTTACTATCAAAAATGAATACTATTAAGAGTTCTCAGGATCTGTTCTATAGGCTTGTACCTCTATATCCTTGGGTTCTAAGAGTTCTCAGAAATGAAACCAACAGAACGAACAACTTATTTGCCACATATTTGCAATATTTGTAATTTCCAAATACCCAAATCTTGAGAAGATTAAACTTCCAAAGGATTTTCAGTTTTCAATTTGGTTAAGATTCCAAAAAAGGGGTTCAATAGTCCAAAGCCCATGAACTAACACTCAAAATTTTCAATTAGGATCAAATAAGTTTCTATGTTGGATCGAATTGGAATAAAATACAAGACATCAATAACAAATNATGCAGTTTAATTATGGCGGTATACCAGCTGCCGACTAAGAACCCACCAACCATACAATCGATTTAAGTCCAATCTGTCATCAATCAAGGTTCAAACATTGTGGCCAAAGTAGTTTTGTGGTTCACAATTCTTGTAGAGTTTTAAGCATTGTAGAGTGAATGTCAAACTGATGCAATCTGTACTGATTTGGACAGACGGATCCATGCTTCACATTCACTGAGTGGACATTTCAACAAAAGAAATTTAGACACTCTGTTAGTCTTCAAAGAAAAGGAGCCAAAGAAATTTCAGCCGACCGTTACGTTTTTAAGTAAAGATGAAATGTTTTATAATTACTAGACTACTTCTGTACCAAAAAGATTCTGCAATTCTCACAGATTGTCTTAAATAGTTCATTTGGAGTGACTTATTTTAAAAGTGTCCGAGTATGAAAAATAAGTTTGAAACTACCTGATTCGAGAATAAAGTTATTGGTGGCTGCAACAACTTTGAAAACACTCAGTTATATCGACGTGGAATAAGCTCCAACACCCACAATACAAAATGATCAATTTATCCACTAGAAACAGAGTTAATAACAAAAAAGTGAAGTAGATGAGTAGCAAATTCTCATCAAAAATACAAAAAAAAAAAAAAAAATGCCGCCTCTCTTATAGATATACAGAAGGAAAAATCTGGGAGAGATCATCAAGTTCTACCACACCAGTAGCAAGATCAACACTTAGAAGGAATCAAATTCCAGTCTTTTTTCACATGGGAGGAAAAAAACAAAAAACAACCCTAGTGGAGTTGTGTCCAGAAGGTTCCATCCAATGCCTACCTAACCTGTCATGGCAAAATCTCACCCACTCATCAAACCCCACCATCTCAGTTTCTTAGGCTTTCAAATATAGAAAACCTGAAAACAAAAGGGTTAGAGTCAAAGAGTAAAGCAAGTTCATGCTTTGATGGAGAGTCACACTGGCACTGTTGTCTGTGCTGGTGATGCCACCATTGCCTGTAGGGCCAAGGCTAAAAGTTGGACTATTAGTAGAGCCTGGAGTTGTAATAGAGGGTGTATTGGATGAAGTGCTGTTTGGGTTGGTGGATGATGGGGCTCCTACATTGCTGAAAAACCACAAGAATGAAAACAACAATGAGATGAGCAAAAGACCACAGTGAGATGTTTATAATGATGAAACCATAGACTAGAGAGCACCACAACACAATCAACAGAACGACGTAGAAAAATTAAAACCAAGAGAGTTTACACTCTCCAACTCAAAAGTCTATATTCATGAGCCGAGTACAACAATAACAATTTACTATCAAAAATGAATACTATTAAGAGTTCTCAGGATCTGTTCTATAGGCTTGTACCTCTATATCCTCGAGTTCTAAGAGTTCTCAGAAATGAAACCAACAGAACGAACAACTTATTTGCCACATATTTGCAATATTTGTAATTTCCAAATACCCAAATCTTGAGAAGATTAAACTTCCAAAGGATTTTCAGTTTTCAATTTGGTTAAGATTCCAAAAAAGGGGTTCAATAGTCCAAAGCCCATGAACTAACACTCAAAATTTTCAATTAGGATCAAATAAGTTTCTATGTTGGAATGAGCTCGATTCGAATTGGAATAAAATACAAGACATCAATAACAAATATAGTACATGAAAAAAAGCTTGGATCTGGAATCAGTAACATGGTGAAGGGAAAAGGACAAACAAGCAAATGAAACATCATAATCCAAACATCATGACAGCTCATACCTGTACTCATTAAAAACTTTTGGAATGACTACTAGATCTACTTTCCTTGGTTACTGTCCAAGAAAATCTTGATTCAACTTGAACGGTTAATCAAACATCTGCTATTATTGTTTCTTGCTACATTAAGACTCCAATTTACAGCGAGTATGTTTAAGTAAAAGATATAGGTTCTACCCACCCCAATACCAACCTCATGTCCCTTTTTTTTTTTTTTGCTATAAGATTTTATGTTAGCACCNCGTTTTTAAGTAAAGATGAAATGTTTTATAATTACTAGACTACTTCTGTACCAAAAAGATTCTGCAATTCTCACAGATTGTCTTAAATAGTTCATTTGGAGTGACTTATTTTAAAAGTGTCCGAGTATGAAAAATAAGTTTGAAACTACCTTGATTCGAGAATAAAGTTATTGGTGGCTGCAACAACTTTGAAAACACTCAGTTATATCGACGTGGAATAAGCTCCAACACCCACAATACAAAATGATAAATTTATCCACTAGAAACAGAGTTAATAACAAAAAAGTGAAGTAGATGAGTAGCAAATTCTCATCAAAAATACAAAAAAAAAAAAAAAAATGCCGCCTCTCTTATAGATATACAGAAGGAAAAATCTGGGAGAGATCATCAAGTTCTACCACACCAGTAGCAAGATCAACACTTAGAAGGAATCAAATTCCAGTCTTTTTTCACATGGGAGGAAGAAAACAAAAAACAACCCTAGTGGAGTTGTGTCCAGAAGGTTCCATCCAATGCCTACCTAACCTGTCATGGCAAAATCTCACCCACTCATCAAACCCCACCATCTCAGTTTCTTAGGCTTTCAAATATAGAAAACCTGAAAACAAAAGGGTTAGAGTAAAAGAGTAAAGCAAGTTCATGCTTTGATGGAGAGTCACACTGGCACTGTTGTCTGTGCTGGTGATGCCACCATTGCCTGTAGGGCCAAGGCTAAAAGTTGGACTATTAGTAGAGCCTGGAGTTGTAATAGAGGGTGTATTGGATGAAGTGCTGTTTGGGTTGGTGGTTGATGGGGCTCCTACATTGCTGAAAAACCACAAGAATGAAAACAACAATGAGATGAGCAAAAGACCACAGTGAGATGTTTATAATGACGAAACCATAGACTAGAGAGCACCACAACACAATCAACAGAACGACGTAGAAAAATTAAAACCAAGAGTGTTTACACTCTCCAACTCAAAAGTCTATATTCATGAACCGAGTAAAACTATAACAATTTACTATCAAAAATGAATACTATTAAGAGTTCTTAGGATCTGTTCTATAGGCTTGTACCTCTATATCCTCGAGTTCTAAGAGTTCTCAGAAATGAAACCAACAGAACGAACAACTTATTTGCCACATATTTGCAATATTTGTAATTTCCAAATACCCAAATCTTGAGAAGATTAAACTTCCAAAGGATTTTCAGTTTTCAATTTGGTTAAGATTCCAAAAAAGGGGTTCAATAGTCCAAAGCCCATGAACTAACACTCAAAATTTTCAATTAGGATCAAATAAGTTTCTATGTTGGATCGAATTGGAATAAAATACAAGACATCAATAACAAATATAGTACATGAAAAAAAGCTTGGATCTGGAATCAGTAACATGGTGAAGGGAAAAGGACAAACAAGCAAATGAAACATCATAATCCAAACATCATGACAGCTCATACCTGTACTCATTAAAAACTTTTGGAATGACTACTAGATCTACTTTCCTTGGTTACTGTCCAAGAAAATCTTGATTCAACTTGAACGGTTAATCAAACATCTGCTATTATTGTTTCTTGCTACATTAAGACTCCAATTTACAGCGAGTATGTTTAAGTAAAAGATATAGGTTCTACCCACCCCAATACCAACCTCATGTCCCTTTTTTTTTTTTTTGCTATAAGATTTTATGTTAGCACCAACTACTCTCTCGAGTTCAGAGTTTAGTGGCCGAACATTGCGCGACCTGGCATGTCACTCTAGCAACAAAGGTAACAAGCCCTTAAAAAAAATATTGAACATGCGACCTCTGAGTTGGACCAAAAGTGAAATTCAACTATTGGACCACCAAATCTACGAGCAAAATCCAAATCGAGAAATGGGAAAATGAGCTTTTTAAGTGAAAGCTAATTATCAGATAGAAAGAAAGGCTATCAGGGAAAAAACATCAGATTTTCAATCACTACAAAAGATTTAAACAACCCAACAGTAAGAATCAAAATATCTAACCATTCTAAAACACCAATTTCCCTAAATTTCCATAGAAACTTAATACATGGAAAGATGACCTTTCCCTTAAAAGGAAAAATTGCAAGAAAACTAACTTTCAGGGAAGAAAAGGGTTTTCAATATGAAATATAGCAACATCTATTTCCACCTAATAGATTCATAAACCAAACTATGGATAGATTTTCATTCAAAATTGGGAAGAAACAAGATCTTGCCATGATATGAAAATAGGAGGTAAAAGGCACACCTGGAACTTGAAGGATAAACACATGTAGAACTTTGGCCTGTAAATCACCAAAAAAGTAAAGGAAAAAAAAGAGATTTAACTCGCAAAAAAGACAGAATATTTATGAGATTTTTTAGAAGCTTATTAGGGACTTACCACTGGGTGGATTTTGACTAGGGGTTGCAGTGCCTGAAAAATCACAGCTCCCAGAAACTTGACCTTTCTTCTGAAAGTAGCTGTTAACAGCAAAGTTGCAGTGATCTTTTACAGTGTTGGGTTGGTAACAAGGACCATTTTGAGTGATTGGAGTACAATCAGCTCCAGCTCCACAAGCATAGTCTATGCTCTTCTGCAGTGCTGAGTCACCCACCCCATCTTTACATGTGCAATAGAGGGCACCTGAAAAGAAAAAGCAAAAGAAAACCCACAAAATACAGACAGATCAGCTCATCAAGATTGGTTTTTTCCCCCAAAATGCTTGAACATGTTAGAAGTGGAATAACTCAATAAGGGAAAAGTTAAGAACATGTAAATAAATTGAAGTCTTATTAAGGGAAAATTATGATGAAAACCCATCTCAAGAAACCTCAGGTATGTCACTGGATGCCTTTACATTCAATGAATAAAGGTTGAGAAACATCAAATGGGTGAAAATAAATTTTGGGAACTTACTTGAACAACCAGTCATGACCAAGAAAAGCACTAAACACAGGGCAAAAACAGCCATGATTGTGCAAGATTGTGGTGAAATTTATGAGAAACTATACAGTGCTTCAAGACTGTTGGATGAAGTTAAACCTTTTTAAAAGGAGAGAGAGAGAGAGAGAGTTGTTGTTGTTAGGAATGGAGATTTTTGGGCAAATGTAATGAGAGTGACGGTGGGTGGCAGTGGTTGGTGCCTATTTATCATGGGTTTTTATGTGTAGTCTCTTTATTTACACATTATTTAAGAAAAATTATACTTTAACCCCTTCAAATATGACTTTTTTTACATTACTCTCTTAACTATCATAGTTCTCAGATTATACTATTAATTGTGTTATTAGTTTTACATTGATCCAATTATTAACGTCTATTATACATTTGATGATAGATTTTTCTTACCCCTGAATTACGTGTTTTGCTTCATTTTATCCTAGACATGTTGATAATTTTCATTTAAAAATTAATGATTGTTTGTGTTTGAAGCAATATAAAATTAATTCAAATAATTGAGAGGATAATTAATATGAAAAATATAATTTAGTTTATAATTGCAAGGATTAAAGTGTAATTGACTTTTTTTTTAATTTATCAAGTCATTATTCTATGTTTATAAAGAATGGCAGGGAGTCGGTTGGGGAACTGAGCAAAGCTTTTGTCCTGTTTTTGACTGCACTGTACTGTGTTCCTGATCAGGGTCATAAATTAATGTGCATGATCAGAACTTAAAAAGCTAACCAGGTTTTGGTTTAAGGGTGTTAATCGATATGTGTTATTTGGATACGATTCAGAATTTTGGATAGGCTCGAATCGAGGTTGGCTTGTGTGTTTAAACGGGTTGAATTTGAATAATTTTTTAAAATTCGTTTATACATAAATTAATCGAATTACTCGGACTTAACTCAAGTTTTACCCGGGCTCAAATTCACCTCAAATTTGATTCAAGTCATTTTTTAAATAAGTCAAATTTGAATAATTTTTTTAAATAATTTAAAAAGAAGAATTTTGACAAACTTAACCTCGGGTTCAAGCTTTCAAAGTTCAGTTCCATTGACACCACTATTTAGTTGCATATCTCATACCCAACAAAGAGGTGGAAAAACAAAGAAAATTGGACAAAACATGCTTAGAAACCATTCTTCACCTTAGATTTATGGGATTGATCATGTAATGTTGTAAATATATGTGGGATGTATGGATAAATCTACCGTACCACAAAAAAANTTAATGGTGGGCAACTAACAGTTAGAGTTAATTGAAAAAAAATTCAAACTTTAAGGGTTTTAAATTGTTGAAATTAAAATTTGAGGGAGTTGATTGCAACACGTCTCAAACTTAGAGGGGATATTTTGTAATTAAACCCCGCCCTCCTCTCACCCCCAACAAAAAAAGAAAAAAAGATTTTTCTATAAATTCTCTCATGTCCACATCCTAATGGGAAAGAAGGGAAAGGAGGATTGTATATATGAGACCTTTATTTTGTTGAGTGTCAGAGTAGAATAAGAAACAGAAGGTGAGAGAATTTGATTTGAACACTTGTCTCAAGGAACACTTTTATTAGTCAAATATTAAAGCATAACCTTCAGTGAGCCTGGGTGATCATAATGTGTGAGAGACCCACAATTGTGGCATTCTTCGTGAGTGTATTTATGGGGCCCAAATTTTATGGTATTTGTACTGCAATAATTTGAGATAGTTATCTCCAAGTTGACGAACCTAAAATAATAGGATCAGAAAAAATGGGATCAGGTGAACACCTGACTTATCCCCTCCAAAACTCAAGTCAATCTACGGTTGAAGGGGTTTCGCTCAATGAACAATCTTTTTTTGGTTCAAGTTTGCGTATCTTTGTCTATTTTTTTGAGGAGTATTTATACCTGAATTAACAATGATTGTCAAAGACCTCCAATCTCATTTGAACATTTAACATCTGACACACCATTCCTTATGCAATGAATATTTTCTACTCATGTCTCCTCCTATTAAATGCTAGAATGATGGGATAAGTGCTCTGCTAAATGCCGAGCATTTATGCTCCTCCCCCGAGTACCCAAATCCCTCATATTGGCATTTGACATCAACTGAGCATTGAATACTCAGGAGAACAGTTCATCGGGAGGAGCTGATCGCGTCATCTCGGCACATCAGCCATTAATGGTTAATCATTATGATAGTAGCCCTAGATTCCCAGAGTGCAGATGCTTGCAGGTGCGCATTTATTTGTCTTGTCACCATCACTCATTCTGCCATAAATGAAGGGTCACATCGTATTAAATACGATGTTAGCTGTCGTACTCAGCTGTTCCGGGTCACCATACCTCGGCTTACCTCCTCGGCGCCCTTTGGATATCCCAACGACTTCATTATTTCATGTGTCAACCTAGGGGCTGTAGAGCCAACTAGAGTCCTGCCAGTATTACAAAAAGTCGCCACAAATTTTTACNGCATTTATACATGAATTAACAATGATTGTCAAAGACCTCCAGTCTCATTTGAACATTTAACATCTGACACACCATTCCTTATGCAATGAGTATTTTCTACTCATGTCTCCTCCTATTAAATGCTAGAATGATGGGATAAGTGCTCTGCTAAATGCCGAGCATTTATGCCTCTCCCCCGAGTACCCAAATCCCTCATATCGGCATTTGACATTAACTGAGCATTGAATACTCAGGAGAACAGTTCCTCGGTAAAGCCGATCGTGTCATCTCGGCACATCAGCCATTAATGCTTAGTCATTATGATTGTAGGCCTAGATTCCCAGAGTGCAGATGCTTGCAAGTGCGCATTTATTTGTCTTGTCACCATCACTCATTCTGCCATAAATGAAGGGTCACATCTTATTAAATACGATGTTAGCTGTCGTACTCAGCTGTTCCGGGTCACCATACCTCGGCTTACCTCCTCGGCACCCTTTGGATATCCTAACGACTTCATTATTTCACGTGTCAACCTAAGGACTGTAGAGCCAACTAGAGTCCTGCCAGTATTACAAAAAGTCGCCACAAATTTTTACTCCGAAATTTTAAGCAATTGTTAGAATCATATAGGTAACTCTAAAAAGTAGCTCCGGTAGTAATAAAGACGAACTGTAAATGCGAGTTCTAATTTTGATAACTCCTTATGGTCATTTTATGAGGAATTTTATCTCTCATAAATACCTTAATCCTTGCGTGGATGATCTGTTTTTGATCGAATTGAGAGAGAATTAGTTGAGGTGCGCACAAATTAACCCGGACATCCTTGATCGTTAAACCAAAAAAAAAATTCATACAAAAAAGGGCCCTAAACACATTTTCATCTAGGATTGCAATTCTTAATGCGATGCACAGATGTAATTATAATCAAGTTAACCTAACAAAGTCATTTAATAAATATGCCGACACAAACTTGATTATAGTCTATATGCCAATTTAATTATAAATGATTATAAATTAGTTGAGATACGTTGACACGACAAACCCATTATGGTATAAATCATTACCGACCCTAGTAATGATGTGTACCATAAAGGAAATAGAAAATAATAAAGGAAAAATAAAAGCCTAGCTTTTCTTCTGTTTTGTGGCTATCTAAAGCTAACAGTTTACGTTTAGTATGAGCCAAAAGAGAAGACACTTGGGAGTATGCCATGAATTTTAGAGCAAGCTGCTTTTACGTTACTTTATTTAATGATTTATCTCTAAAGCGTTGATTGAAGCTTCGAAATTCTTTCCTACCAAACCAATAGACAAGAGAACATCTCACGGCCACATACACAAAGCAGATGCCATCTCTCTCTCTCTCTCTCTCTCTCTCTTATATGTGTGTGTGTAGCCAACTTTTTTTTTTCCTTCTAAGAACTGATATAGCCAGCTACTTTGGGCTCCATTTCTCCCCCTCTGAACAAATATGTTTAATGTGAATAAGAATGTTAGTGGATCCTACCATATTAGTTTATGCATATTATATTTCATTCGTATGTAAATTAGGTTCTTATTGTATTTAATCGAGTTTTATAAATTAAATCAATTGTGAATCATATTAAGGACAAACTCACGATGAAACTAGTCAATTTCGTGTATGATTGATGAGTCGGGTTAAGAATTACTAATTCAAAATGTAACTCAACAAAAGAAAGACAAATATTACTGTTATTATTTGGCTAAAAAACATTGTGATGCTTTTTATTTATTTATTTTTGTGTCTAGTGATGTATCACAATTCACAAGTCATTCAATTCTATGAAAAAAAATCAAAAGCAATGTCTTCTTGGAATTGCACTTACTATTTTCTTGTCTCTGCAAGAGATTCATGAACATGTCCAACAAAAACTCTACAAAACATGGGCATTAACTCTGCAAAATCACCTTCAAATGTTATCTTTCAACGATCTCCTTGACACAATTGTCGATACTCAGGTTTTTGCAAGGTCAGTTAATCCGAATCTACATTCCTACGATGCAAGAGTTTGAGCAGCCTTCTGAAATGGTAGAGAAAAAACAAAAAAAAGGTAGAAAAAGTAGTTCAGTTCCGAGAAAAGGAATAGCCCCCCATATAAGCTTCTAATTTCTGAACATGGGGTAGGGAGTCAGGGAGAGTTTTTTCTCGGTTGCCTTTATGTTTATAGGGGGCTTGGAGTGAGTCATCACACCCTTGAAAAAATGTTTTAGCAGAAAAGGAATTACTCAAACACGATATTCATGGCTTCACAGATATTATTGCAGGCTGAAGTCTTACTTGTTTCTGCTCTTCCATGTTTGCCTTTATCAGGGAGTAGATGGCAACACCAGCAATAGCTATTGCAGTGCCAATCCCAGTCTGTGTGGAAATCCTATTGCCTGCAATGGAAATCCATGCAGAAATCAACATTATTATAGTGGTCGTTTTTTCACAAATGGTCGTAGATTGTTGGATTAGTGAGTCCCAATAGATCCCACTAACATCCCGTAGTTGCAATACTTCCACATCAGTTGGTAAGAAAAATTTGTCGGAACAACATTATTGAACCATTCAATGCCAGAAATGATAACATATACACAGCATGCGCGTGACATCAAAGGGATAATATCTGACCTTAAGAAAATAGATAAAACTGCACTATGGTTTATCAATAATCTACCAGTTAGCTGGATCATTGTCTTGGAAACTAGTACCTCAATGTTAGAGATAGTTATGGCAATAATGGCTGTGGTAGTAGAGCCCAAGGAAAGCTCAGATCAAGCCAAACCAATACAGGGTAAAGGAAGTAGCAGGCTAGGATAATTGACACAGTCCAATGCACCACAATTGGGGTCTAGATATGGTGATCTAGAATAGAATCAGAAACTGTTGATTTTTTCTTAAGATAAGACCTTCTGTTCCCGGCTTTCCTCTTTAAGCAGAAAAAGGAGAAGAGTTTAGTAATTACCAAATACCACGATGGAGAAACCAATCACAAACACTCGCTTCAACACATTTCCAACAGCATGTGTAAGTGGTGCGACCCTTTCCAAGGTGTTAGTAGCAACCTGCAGTTGTGAGGTCCAAATATCTGTTAAACAGAGCATTATAATTTCATATATAAAAGAATTTGCAGTAGAGGATACTTTTATTTAGTATCAAAATCCCACATATTAATGAAAATCTACTTATACAAAGAAAAATAGAAGATTCATAAGCACAATATCATCTGAAGTTGGAAGTTATCGATTAGAGTTAGTGCACATGGCCCGGACCTTGCCTCCCAACTAGGGGGTCTGAGGTTCAAGGCTCATCAGAGAGAGAAGACATGGGTATGTCGTAAAAAACATGATAGTCCTTGCCAGGTCTAGAGATGAATAGACGAGGTGTTATGTGGTAACACGTCAAGCAGAAAAAAAAAGGTCAAAATCAAGGCATATCTAACTACAAAAGTTTTCCAATTTTGTATTGAAGAACCTGTGAATGTAGGATTTGCATGGCATACCTGATTGTACAGATGATAGAACATTCCAATCCAGAACAGATCAGACAAGAATTTGTTTAGACCAACTTTGGCAATCGCATTCTGAAATCCATACTGCATCAGCTGGGGTCCCTCAATCTGAAAAAACAAGGAAAACATCAATAGAGTTGTTTTTCAATGATTTTTAACAAACAAGAAAGTCAAACTTGTAATTGAGATCTATAATCAAGCGAACTTACAAGTATAGCTGGTGGGATGCAAACCAGCAGACCAATTATTGAAATGTAAGCATACACATTTGTACTGTCCATTCCTGTCTGTAAAATATGAAATTTGTGTGATGGAGCAACATGTATTTAAGATCCCCCAGCTTCGATTAGCGCTTGAATGAAAAATACAATTCCATTACCGAGGAATTTTAACTTTCTGAAAGATCTTACCATTGCTTTCTTTGAATAGATACTTCTGTAGGTGAATGCAATATTTGAAATCATTGCACTAGTGAAACCAAGCCAGTTGAAAGAAAGTTCTGTCAATGATGCCATTGAGACACCTAAGATAAAAAAGTTCAGAGGTCAGTACAGTATTTTAAAGTATCACATTTTAGCAGATGGTTGGTTTTTCTAGGTAGAAGGATACAGAACTTAGTGACATATATTAACTCGAAAAAGAAATATCTGGCTATACGTGCCGATGCTCATACATCAGTGCATATGTGTGCGCAAGCATGTATGATGTATGAACAAAAAACTGATAGGAAGAAGGCTGAGATTGATCAGTTACCAAGAACAACAGGGGCCAATGATAGCCACAGGGGCAGGGGAATCTGGTGGCCAAGAACAAACTGTGAAGCAGCGGCATTGAAGAATGGCTCCAGGGCTGTAAAAGCACAAGAAAAATAGTTATGCATACCTGACTAAGGTTACACCACATTATTTTTGCTACCAGTTCTAGCTAGAATATATTTAGATTTAGGTACATAAACACCATTGTCTATACAGCCATAAAATTATGCATTGTGACACAGATTTAGACATATGATTGTGAATTGTTCCACAGATTGTAAGAAACAGTTAAATTTAGGAAAAGCCCTTCTTCAGTGTTCACCTTGAAACTGCCATATTCACATTATCAACTGAATTAGAACATCTCCAATGTCAATGTTAACAATAGTTTTATGAAAGGTTGAACCGAAAAAACAGCATTTACTAGCATAGCTTGTAGGAAGAATTATGAGTTTGCACGAAAGCATAATTACACAAACAAACTGCCGAGAATAAAAAACACACTCTTAGGTCATCCAAAACCACACAACATACTAACAAAACAGATGCTATACATAAAAATAAATAATAAAATTTATATACTTTGGATATCTATTGAATTGCCTTAAGATAGACAGGGTTTTTGAAGAGTCTATACCTTTAATGGTATGTGTGAAAGATACAGCAACTGCAGCAAATGAGACATTAGACATGACATGTCCGAGGGCATGGCAGAATGCCACCGGAGTAAGGAGTAACAAGAGTTCCTTATCAATTGGCTGGATATTCATGTTAACAATCAAATAAATTATGGAAGTTAACTGGTAAATCAAGAGCAAAGTAATAGCAAGATGCAGAAGAAGAAACTCACAGCACGTTTTGGTAGACCAACAGACCAACTGACTAGGCAGTACACCACGCCTACTAGAAGATGTACAACCGAGACAAAACTGCAAATGGGGAAAACAATCTTCTAATTTTAACTAGGAATGAACTTTCAAGGGAAACATCATAGAAACAGAATATACACTAAAACACTGAAGCTTAATTACAAAATTTCAAAGAACTTAAGAGCAAAGTAATGGAGCAACAATAACTTACTATGGATATGGAAAGTAATTGTAGACCTTCTTGTTTAGTATATTGAAGATGACATTAAGGAAATACCTGCATAGAAACATTAAATTAATTACAAAGAAAACAAATTTTCCCTGTCAGTAGGAGAGAAGGGGTTATTCTGTACACTATTTTCTGAAGTTCAAACACAATCATAGCTACACATATACTTTGTTGTACACATAGCATTTTGAATCAAACAAACATATGCAATGGAGTTCTATATTCAACCGAAAGGAGACATGATTAAAACATCAGATTTTCTCTTAAGGTATAGTTTAGGATGGTAGAACTTGCCCTTGAAAACCGGCTTATAAGTGAAAGGTGCCAAAAAGTTTATACACACACATTTAGTCTTATTTTTAACCAATGTGAGATTGTAACATTCCACCACACTTCTGTACACGACATCCACTGCGACCAACTCTATCGACACTAACACAACAGTAGCCCTTTCCTTTTTGGCGGCTCCACTCACCTATTAGTATTCAATGAGATAGCACTATACTCATACATAATACCAAGTCATCTCAATTCACCCTATAGGTCACCCTTCCGTGACTCGACCAGAGAGATCCACAGCTCACCATGTGTTCGATGTTATACTCGACGCGGTAGCTAGCTCTGATACCAATTGTCATGAACCCACAGGTAGAACTTACCCCTGAAAACCGGCTTACAAGGAAGGGTGCCCAAAAGTTCATATACACATATTTAGTCTTATTTTTAATGATGTGAGATCGTAACAGGGGCATAAAAGAATTTCTTTAACCCCTTGAACAGTAAAAACATATGCAAGATATGATGATCAGAATACCATGAACCCATTATAAACATCAATTTGAGAATCCATAATTAGCCAATAGCTTACCACATAAAGAAAAAGAACCCAGTAACAAGAGCAGGAAATCTCTCAGCAAAGCTTTTGTTAGGCTTAGAAAACCTGCAATTACATATATGACTAGTCAACAAAAATTCTATCCTAATTAAAAATAAAAATAAAAAATAGTTATGAGTGCAGAGTCCATACCCATCAGAAATTTCAATCTCATGACCATCTGCATCAGCAGCTGCAACTTTTGTGACCGGAAACACAGCTAGACCACGTCGCCTCAACAGTTGACTCCACCCAGAAAACTTCAAGGTCTTGCCGGAAAATTCCACCGGAGATTGGGATATTCTATTTTCTGGCAGTGGTGAGAATTCCAAGCATGAGGCTCTTGGAACAACTGATCTACTCTTAAGATGTGCTAAATTAAACTGGGTTTTACTAGGAAGAGTGGACAGAGAGGAAAACTGTGATCTTTGAATTGAAAACTGAATAGAATTAGAGATGGAAGCCATGGATAATCGAAAGAAAGTGAAAAATCAACCTTACCCCGAATTTAGTCCGAAGAACTTGAACTGTAATTGAGTCTGGGTTTTTATAAAAAGGAACGAAGGTCTGTAGAAACAAATGGGTACGTAGAAACCGAGGTTAATTTGGTTTTAGAAGCGGATATATCTAAGAGACAGAGAGACTTTTCCTATCATCAAAACACAAAGCTCTTACTTTTCCCAAAAAAAAAAGACAGAAAACTCTTAAAAAGGACGGTACTACAATGTGAAAACAGAGAATTTGAGTGCTTGTATATGTGTGTGTGTGGATTTAGAAGTGAGTTTAAACTGTAAGTACAACAGATTCTTTGCGAAACCCTTTTCAGAATTTTGGAGAAGAAGTGCTTGTAGGAACTTGTGAGTGATGTTCTCTCAAGAAACTCTACTGCATCCTGAAATGTAGGGGAACAAATACCATTGTTAAATGAACTTTCATAATAGAGTTGAAGAGAGAGGGAGAGAGAGAGAGAGATGCCCGTTAGCTTTCTCGGTTCCCTCCCAATGGAGTCCTATGCATCCGTCACTGTTTATAAGGTTTTGAATCTTTGATTGAGGATTGACTTTTGGTTGGGGGGAAATTAGAATGTGTGATGCATGAAAATAGGACTTTTTCGCAGTCCCAACAATTAATCATGGTAATTATTTTCTATTTGATTGTCTCGATATAGTAAACATAACCTTTGTCAAATTGAATCAAGTTTAATCATACATTTTTTTAAAGGATAAAAAAAAACATTTACATTAAACCTTTGCAATCATAGTTTTTACCATAATCATAATTTTTCAGACAATAGTCAATTATGCACCTGATGAAATTTCAGATTCATAGCATTGTAATGGAGTCAAAATTGAAAAAACTTACACTAATTAAATTGCTCTGCCTCTTTCTTAATTGCACGCANGGTTCATTGCATTGTAATGGAGTCAAAATTGAAAAAACTTACACTAATTAAATTGCTCTGCCTCTTTCTTAATTGCACGCATGCACAAACAATATTACTTTGTTTAATTTCAGAATATTATAGTGCAGTTAGGACAATGACACATGACCAGAATCAAGTATATTAGCAATTTATATTTTGGCCACTTTAATTTTGGACTTGATTTTTTTTTGGTCCTTTTAACTATTACATTTCTTTATACTACCCCATCAACTAATTGAATTATTTTATAATCCCTCAAAATGAGATGTCCACTCACCACTGTCTTTTTAGATGGAAATCATTGATAGACTAGAGCAAAGAAAAAAAAATCATATAATTCAGGAGTAATATGACAATTTTTTTATCAAATTTATTACGGATGTTAATAGTTGAGACGATATGAAATTAATAGCATAGGTTCAGGTAATCTTCGTTTCTGGTGTTTTAATCACCTTTCAATAACTCCCTCAATAATGTGCAAAGCACAAGTTAGATCGGTCTGCTGCTTCTTTATCTCTTTGTTTCACTTTCAAAACCTGGAGTAACACCAAAAAAAATGAGCTTTTTAGGGTTAGGAAGCGAGAAGAAAAGTGAGGTTTTGCCATTTGACCTCTCTTCCCGCGTGCCTAAGAATGTCCAGTGACAACCTCTCAATTGTCACCGCCTGGCCTCTCTTGCTACCACGGTAGCACCTCTCCCTGTACCTCAGAGTCAAGCTTCTGGACGGTTTCAAGTGGTAGGAGATAGATAAGTATAACGATTAACGGTAGAATGAGAAAACTATGACAGGTAAGGGGCTATGGAAATAAATGATCATAAGTGAAAGGATCAAAGTATGATTTATTCCATCATTAGACCTTCAGGACTTGGGAAAAGCCAAGTTCCTCTGTCTAAAAAGAGACATGAAAGTTAGGAATGGCTTTTGGCTGAGACTAGAAAACAAACTAAGCATTGTCAGATGTGTAGTATTACATCATATACGATTTTATATCTATTAATTTATAGGCTCAAGTCTATGGGTTTTCAAGAAAAGACTATCAAAAGAAAAACAAGACGAGGTAGATGACACATATAAACCCCAAGTAGCAGAGAAATAAGGTGTATTTAGCCCAACATGGCAACTTGGATGGCAAAATTTAGTGTTTCATATCTTAAAATCTCAAGTGCGAGTTGTAAAAAATAGTCTGGTTGACCAAATATGAGTAACTTGAAGGTGATTACTTATATTTCAGTATTATGTAATAGTCACGAGTCCAAAAACACATAATTCTAACTCTTCGTTGTTATTAATAACAAATTTTTACAGGAGAAAAAGGCCCTTTAGAGTCAATTTGGGTGCATAAATACACACATTGGATGAAGTACTCACATTGACTCCGATTGAGATCCATGTCACCTCCACCACAAAGTTCTCTGGTTGCCACTCCCTTGTATTGAATAAGAACATGTCTTGCTTTCTACTCCTGAGAGTAAAAGGCCCGAGCAATGTTATCAGAATCAAACCAAATCGATCGGTCAGACCGATGAACCAGTGTAATGAGGCAAAGAAGTCTCAATTTTAATAACATGGTGAGAAAGTAAGATTATGACAAAAACAGCTTTAGCTAATCTCTCCCTACTTGCCCTAATAAGTATGTCCAGTTTTTTTTTCTTAAATAACATATAATCATCTCAACCATGTGCCCTTTCGACTTATGACTACAACGATTGTAATTACATGCCAACGATGTGTTATTAAACATGGGTTTTATGCGGTTACATATTTTATGTAGTCAAAGTTCAAAATCAAAACGTATAGATTTATACCTCACTTCTTATTCGATCTTAGAAATAAAACGTATAGCTTAGTTATTCAGAACTCTACCAAGGTAAAAGTTAGTTGTCAAACAAATCCCTTGGCACCTACAAACAAACCAACAAAAAATGAAAAGAATGGATAATAAAAGTTTGTTTGGAGGAAGGTAGCTAGAAAGAGAATAGTTAATAAAAGTTGGACTTGATGGTAACTAAACTTTGTGGTCCAGTAAGAATAATCAAAGTACGCGTAAATTGATTCAGATCCTCTTGACCGTTGAACTAAAAAAAACTTTCTAGTCTGGTGGGACAAGAAGACTAGAAAGTTGTAGCTATGCCAAAGATGCTTATTCCTTGCAAATGATTACTGTTAGTTTTATAGTTCAGTTAGGCCATTTATCAAACACCAGGCAGAGAGTTCTAAAGATATTTTATGTTGAAGTTATATTAAAACGGAAAAATTGATGACTCTTTATGCAATTAGCTATTGTTTGTTGTTCTACTTATAAAAAATTACAGCCCGTGATGTATTTGCTTTTGCAAAAGCAATGGTGACCGAAAACTCGGATCTAGATTTTTTTTGTTACGTTTTTATTAAAACGGTAGATCACCTATTATATATGAGTGTTGAGCCTACTTATAAATAATGGGTTCCACTTAAATTCATAGTTGATAAGTAAAAAGATAATTGAGAGAATCTTAATTCTAAAAACTCGTAAAATTTAGCAATGACAGAATCAAGTAAGGATGACCTAAGACTACTGGATCACTAAAGTGTGTGGAAAGATGGGTTAGTAATTTTAACATAAACGTGAGTTTGTTTGGGGGATCGGGACTCATGAGATTGACTAATGTATTCCATACACTTCCAATATCGAGAGAAATTAATAGCGGTAATAAAAATGGATGCAATCCAATTTTATGTTTGTTTAAACAATATGTTTTAGAGAGAATTACATTCAGACCTTCTGAGATTTGTCATTTAATCACTCAGACCCCTTAACATTTAAAATATTACACACAGACCCCTTATAGTTTGTACGCGCATAACACTTAGACCCCTGTTGTAAATATCAAATATTTTAAATTTTACAACCAAAATTCATATTATATTATATTATTTATTAATTAAAAATAAAAATTTAATTTTTTCTTAAAAAATTGTAATTGATATACAATTATATTGTTTATTAGAATTTAATTTAGTCGTTTAAACTTTAAACGACCAAATTAAAAAATCAAACTACCCAAATTAAATCTAAAAGATATTGTATTCATTGCAGTGTGATTCTTTGTTTAATTTTTTAGTTTTGTTCTAATAGATAGTATAAATATATACTAACTATGTTTTTTTTTTAAAAAATAAAATTTTATTTTTGATTTTATTTCAATAAATGACATCATTAAACATGAATTTTGGATATAAAATTCATCTTATATTATGAATGACTTATAACCATTGTTTGATTTGTTTAGTTTTATTCCAATAAATAGTATAATTGTATACTAATTATGATTTTTTTATAAAAAATTAAAATTTTAATTTTAATTTTATTTTAATAAATGATACAATAGAACATGAATTTTAGTTGTAAAATTTAAAATATTTAATATTTGATTGAATTATTTTTTTGTCTAAGTATAATATTTTAAATTTAAAGGATCTAAGTATTATATACCCACAAACTTTAGGAGAGTCTAAATATAATTTATAAACTGATATTTACAACAGGAGTCTAAGTGTTACGCGCGTACAAATTTCAAGAAGTCTGTGTGTAATATCTCAAATATCAAAGGGTTTGAGTGATTAAATGACAAATCTCAGAGATCCCGGGTATAATTATCCCTATGTTTATAGTGAGACCCACTAAAACACATCTATTCTATCAAATCTCATATAGCAAATAGACTTGTTTACCCCTAATACCATATCAAGGACATGTGGAAAGGGTTATTATAGTCATTTAGCTCCCTTATACCGTTAGACGTTAGCACCCCTTCTCTCACCTTTATACCACCCATGTAGATGGGTTTAGGGCCACTGTTCATACAAAGTTAGTATTAGGATCTGAAAAGTAATATTTCATTAAAAATGGTTAACAAACAAAATATATGTGGGACCTATGTACTAATAATTAATAAACATTATCCCACCTCCTTATGCCCCACTTATCCCCAAAACAACCATAAAGGTCTTTGTATATGATCTATGCATTTTTTTTTTTTTTTTGGTTTCTTTGAGTATAAGATCAAACACAATATAAGTATTGTTAATATCGAGCTAATTCTAATTCTCTGTTTTTGACGAAAAAGTCTTCTAGGGGGACCGGTGACACAAGCATAGTCGTCTTCCTTATTGATCTTTCTTGTTTCATGGAGAGAGTTTCTGTTACCACCAAAAAATGTTGATTGTGGAAGTATGGATGTCATGGTGGTGGTGTGATATGGTGGCCATGGTGGGAGGGTGGTGGTGGAAATGAGCTAATGGTGGTGTTGGCCTTGGTAGAAGGGTGGTGGTGTAGTGGTATGGTGGAAGTAGTGGTGGTGGTGGTGGAAGTGTGGGGGACATAGTGGCGATTGAAGTATGGTGGTGGTATTTTCTAAATTTTAGAAAAGTTATTTCCAAAAATACACAAAATAACTCTAATAACTTCTATCCAATTTTTGTTCTCAGTTTTCAAAATGATCAAACTTTTCTTCCAAAAATTGTCTATGAAAACAAAATATAATTTCTGAAATACAAACCCGAGCCCAAATTTTTTATTTTTTTTTAACTTATAAAAAAGAAACTTATGGAAATTAAAGTGCAAAATAAAAGTTTAGAGAACCAAACATGACATCATTCCATGCATAGTAAGACATATCATTTTGCCAAAGCATGAGTGAAGTCAAAATCAAGAACAAAATGAAGTCAAAAATAAAAATTAGGCAGACCAATCCAAAAATTTCATCTTCAACTGGCTTCTATGACTTGCAAAACACAAAATATATAGTAATATGCCTACGGCTTAACAAGCAATTCCCCTTTTGAGAAAAGCTGGGAAAAAAGCCATTTTCACAATAGCAATTCAGTCTTGGACTGCTTTATGCAGGGCTGTTTGGTCCTCCATCAGTTCTGCAGAATAGTGTAGATTTTAGATGTTCTGCATACAAAGGAAAATTGGTAGAAGAATATGATGACACCAAGTGAGTCAAATAGAAAACTAACCTCAGGTTCCGCTGGCTTGGATTCTTCTCCCTTAAAGTTTTCGTCACCTGTAGAGAAGCATGCATGTCTGAGATTAGCTTCCCCACGTATGTCTTGTTTGGCAAGTATGTACATGTAGGTTGTGAATGGAAGGAAAGATTGCTTCTGAGCTTTAATTTTTGACATCTTATGTGTTACCGTGTTACCATTATCTGATCTAACTCATAACCAATTACTATTCACATTTATGGAGAATCTTGCAAATATCAAAGCTTGCACCATGTATAATGTTTGTTTGCAAACCATTTCATTTGAGTTTATCAGATGAAAGTTAGCCCCCATTGCCTCCAAATCCCCAAATATAAGAACAACCTAATCTGTTTTTCGGGGTTATAAAATACCTCCATCTTCAGGCAAATCAGAGGTCCAAAGAGTGAGGTTGTCTCTCAACAGCTGCATAATCAAGGTGCTGTCCTTGTATGATTCCTCATTCAAGGTGTCCAACTCTGCAATTGCCTCATCAAAAGCTTGTTTAGCCAAATGGCATGCCCTGCAAATCAAATAACCAAACAGATAATCAGTTTTTTTTATTAGAAAGGGGTGAATTGTTTCAATAGCCTTGCACAGATAACACAAAATGCAAAATAATTACCTCTCAGGAGAATTCATAATCTCGTAGTAGAAGACAGAGAAATTCAGAGCAAGGCCAAGACGGATTGGATGGGTCGAAGGGAGATCTGTACTTGCAGTTGCGGAGGCAGCCTAACAGGGAAATAACAACCAGAGGACATATCAAATGAAAGTAAAAAATGCTACACAATGCATCTCTATTTATAGAATCTAAAGATGAACATATGCCTCATATCCCTTCAATGACTCTTCAGCAGCCTCTTTTCTTTCTTGGTCAGTCTTAAATTCAGCAAGATAACGGTAATAGTCACCTTTCCTGAATTCATGTAACACAAATTAGAGAAAATGAGAACGTCAGACTGTGATCATCAATAGGAGAGAGATAAGTAAGTCTCATCCTCCTGCCCCCACGAGATCCAGCAAAAAAAAAAAAGAAGAAAGACAACGTCAAGTGGGAGAATCTGCAGCCAATATATGCCCCACTTCTACACAAAAGACATTAGCAAAGAAAAATTCAGCATCCTTGCAGAAGGCATGATGACAAAAATCAAAAGGGAAATCCACTGGCCCCTTTGCACGCACATCACATGGACATCAGATCAGAGGCATGAAATGTGAGTTGTCAGTAATCAGCATCATATCCATAGGCATGAAAAGGAAGATATCAGAATCATATCCCTATTACTGTTCTCTTGCATCATGTGTTTTAGAATATTTCCATAATTTCATCAAAATGGAGTGGAATGTGCACAAGTAGCAAATATCAAACAATCATGCAAATAAATGAATTAGGTCATTTGGACCAACATTACTCACATCTTGTAGTAGAAAACAGTAGCTTCTCCTGAGCCAGAAGAGGGGATCAGATGCTTGTCTATGATAGTAAGAATATCATTGCAAATCTTGGAAAGCTCGTCCTCTACTTTCTGGCGATAGCCCTTGATCAGCTTGACATTGTTTTCGTTACCTTTCGATTCTTCCTTCTGCTCAATTGAAGACATAATTCGCCAAGAAGCTCTCCTGGCACCAATAACATTCTTGTACCCAACAGAGAGCAGGTTCCTCTCCTCAACGGTTAGCTCAACATCAAGTTTTGCAACACTTTTCATACTCTCAACCATTTCTGAGACATCAACCAAACATGAAATTTTATAGCAAATTCAGAAAAATAGTATAATTGGCAAATATTTGACTTGACAAAACCTTATTCCAAGTCCAATAATTTGGGTTTTGCCTACATTAATATTGTTCTCCCATTTATTGGGCCTATAGCCACAGCATCACTTAAGTCACGCGGCCATGTTTTCCCTTTGTATCACATACTTTTCAGCATAAAACAATTTCCCCTTTCCGTTAGAGGCAAAATACCCAATTCACTATGCACATTATCATCGCTGTAAAGCCATCAAAATTCCACTGAAATCGACAGATTTTATAACCCAAGGGAGAGATACAGCCCATGCACTTTAGAGCCAAGGGATAGATTATCACAAAATAGCAAGTTCAATGAGATGTATGAACAGATGGTATACAAGTTCTACCCCCCACATCAAGATTTCCACTGCAAAATGCAAATAACTCCATAACCAACACAATGCATACACCCAGACAGACACATAAACAGAGTATACCAAACATAAGCGCAATAAGGCAACAAAATATAGTGATTTTACCCCTCTTTCTTGAAGGCCCAAAAATGATTTTTTTAAAAAATCAACTCTCAATCCCTCAAATCTTTATTCTGTACAGAAGCCTATAACATAAGCATAAACATAAAATACTAGTATAAAAAAAATGAACAATTTTCACAAACACCCAAAATTTATCAATGCAGTAAGTCAATTCTGCAGACAATCTCCAAATCGATTAACTAAATATCAACCCAAATACCCAGATCAGTAAATATCAAAATAGACTTCAATGAGCACATTTCATGTACAGTGCAACTATACAGATCAGGAACTATAATAAAGCACTAATCACAACGATCCATATCATAACTATCTTAAAATCTATCTAGAACAACAGATACATATGTTTTACTCGTTATGTAAACACAAGAAGAAAAAATGAATATTGAGAGTGTTACCATCATAACGCTCGGCCTGTTCAGCCAGTTTGGCTACGTAAACATGAGTCTCTCTCTCCTTTTCAGTCGACATTGTACAATGTTGATGGCGATGACTGAGAGAGATCTATTGAAAGGGGTAAAACCCGAATAAGAGCAGAAGAGTTTGAGAGAAGAGAGAGAAAAGTAGAGAGAAGGAGAAGGGAAAGAGCGAGAGAAGTGGGGGAAGGAGGGGGGGTGAGTATATAGCGGCGAATCGGAATGATTGAAGCTTGAGAAAGTAGGGGAAGGAAGACCGGATCTGGACCGTTGGATGAGGAAAAGCTGTTTTGAAAATGGAATTTTTGAGCGCGCATATCGTGATTTAATTAATACTATTGGAACGCTACGTGTGTGCTATTCCGAGATGCCAAACAAGGGATTTAGATTTCCCCTATTACCCCTTTCCCTCTAATTCTTCCCAATACAGTACTAGATGAGTAACACGTGTAAAATTTTAAATTTTAATAAATAAGATATTTTGGTGGAGTGTTAACCATTATTAAGAAATTTTCTCACAAGAAAAAAATCATATCCATTACAATTCAAAATTTTACACGTGTCACTCATCTAACACTGTATTGAAGAGAATTAAAGAAAAAAGGTAATGGAGGGGATCTGAATCCCCAAACAAGAGGTCCAAAATTGATTAGTAACACCGTTGGAGCTGTAAATTCAAATGTATTAAATTTGATAATTTTTTAAAATTTTTTAGTCTCGAAGTAGCTTTTGTTTAAATTAGAATAGAGAATTAATCAAAATACAAATAAACTTATTTAATATCCTAACAACATAACATTGCCCCATATCCACCATTATCATCTATATAATAAGAAGGGAACTAATAAATTTTTTTATTCATTTTTATCGNATAAACTTATTTAATATCCTAACAACATAACATTGCCCCATATCCACCATTATCATCTATATAATAAGAAGGGAACTAATAAATTTTTTTATTCATTTTTATCGCAAGTTAAATTATTTAATAATTTAATTAATTGTGATTCTATATAATTTTTATTTTAGACATTCTTCATATACAACTTTATACACATGTAATTTTTTTGAGGTCAAGTAGTTTGAAAAAAAAAATCAATTTTTTTTTAAAAATAATAGAAATAAATTAGTTTTAAATTATATAATTAAATAAAATGGTGAAAGTGAATAGTTTCAAGCAATTCTTCTAGAAAGCGTACCTTTTATTTCTACTTTTCTCTCTTCTAAGAATAACTCGAACCATTGATAAGATTTAAACCAAATACGAGACGACACAATGTCAAAAGTCAACTTGACCATTTTTTCTCTGAGTAGAAGAGATTTTTGGGTAGATAGTGTCCTAACCAACCCATGATATTACGAAACTTTAAGAATTGGTGTCTAAAAGACTACTCTTTCGTCTGAACATGCCTAACCATCACACGTATGCGTATCATTCGGGGGAAGGATATTGCAAGGTGGGTAATTTATCGAATAAAGACATTAAGTCGGGCATATTAATTATATATATTGAAATTAATTTTTAAAATTTAAAATTTAAAATTTTATGTTTTTTGTTTTTGAGATAGAAAATGGTGAAAATAAAAAAAAACGTCCAACAACTACTTTAATAGGCCCTCACCGGTAACCACACCTAAAACACTTTTTCAAATCAAAACTAAACTAACATAGAAACCAATTATCAAACCCCAATAAAAACTATGTTACCAGTGCAAACAAGCAGCAATATAGAATTACGTTACAACCGCAACATGTACACAAAATCATGACGAGTACAGAGAAACTCTCTAAATCTCTCATAAACCTTATCCGTCTCCACCACATCCGAAAACTGACCACCACCGCGCCACCCCTCTCACAGCCCACCACCTCCATCACACCAGTCAACCCGGCCCAACTCCTCCGAGTCTGCACCGTCCTCTACCAACAACAAAACTCCCCAGACCCAAAACTCCACTCTAGCCTCACCCGCTGCCACTTCGACCTCACCCAAGAGTTCTTCCTCCAAGTCTGCAACAAATTCCCATATTCATGGGGACCCGTTTACAAGTTCTTCCAATTCACCCAAGCACAGCCCCATTTCAATCACACTTCAACCACATTCAACAAAATGGTCGACATTATTGGAAAATCAAGTAATATAGACCTCTTCTGGGAAGTCCTTCAAGAAATGGGACGTCGGCGTTTGGTAAACGATGGAACTTATAGAATTGCATTGAAAACATTGGCATCGGCGAGGGAATTGAAGAAATGTGTGGAGTTTTTTCATTTGATGAATGAAAATGGTTATGGGTATAATTTGGAGACTTTGAATAAGGTAGTTGAGACTTTGTGCAGGACTAAGCTTGTTGATGAGGCTAAGCATGTGGTTTTGAAGTTGAAAGACTGGATTAAGCCAAATGGGGTTACTTATAAGTGGTTGATATATGGGTTTTGTGATGTGGGTGATTTGATTGAGGCTTCAAAGGTTTGGAATTTGATGGTTGATGAAGGGTTTCAACCAGACATCGATGCGGTTGAGACAATGATGGAGACCCTTTTCAAGAATGATCAATTTGGAGAAGCGATGAAGGTTTTCCAATCAATTAGAGTGAAGAGGATTGATGCTTTGGGGCTTTCGACGTACCGGATTGTGATCCATTGGATGTGTAAGAAAGGTAAACTTGGTCAGGCACATGTTATGTTTGAAGAAATGCAAAAGAGAAAGATTCAAGTGGATAATGAAACGTTGACATCGATAATTTATGGACTTACTAGTAAAGGTAGAGATACAGAGGCTTATAAGGTTGTGGAAGGGATTGATAAACCTGATATAAGTGTTTATCATAGTTTGATCAAGGGGCTTTTGAGATTGAAAAAGGCAAGTGAAGCCACACAGGTCTTTAGAGAGATGATAAATAAGGGGTGTGAACCTACAATGCATACATATATTATGTTGTTGCAAGGACATTTAGGGAAGAGAGGGAGGAAGGGATCAGACCCACTGGTGAATTTTGACACCATTTTTGTTGGAGGTTTGGTTAAGGCCCGGAAGTCGTTGGAAGCTACCAAGTATGTGGAGAGGGTATTGAACAGAAGGCTTGAGGTACCTAGGTTTGATTACAACAAATTTCTGCATTATTTTTCGAACGAGGAAGGTGTGGTTATGTTTGAGGCAATGTCAAAGAAGTTGAGAGAGGTGGGACTGTTCGATTTGGCTGATATATTTGCAAGATATGGGGAGAAGATGGCAACTAGAAATAGAAGGAGAAATAGAGCACCGGAACCATGAGAACACCAGTACCAGTGGCTCTTATACAGACTGTTGGCATAAACGGAGAGATCAAGTTCATGGATATTTTATTTTTATTTTTTTGGGGTAGAATGGAAGATTAAAAGCAGAGCCACTAAGGCTCTCTAACAAAAGAAATGCTTGCCAGATCAGGCCTTAAACACCATAGTAATCTCCACTGGAGGACTACTCGAGGAAACACACATCTCCTCCAGCCAAACCCCTAAATTAGCAAGTGCATCCACACATTGGTTTTCTTCATGAAGAATATGTTTCACAGAGCTATTTGAATCTCCAAGCAATCTCTTGTTGAGATTGGTGTGTGTAGGCTTCATATGAATCTGTTTCCACCTCAACTCCAGTCAAGCCTTGCTCCTTGAATCTCCTTGATCACAACACGGTTGAACAGAGGTTGAATAGAGGCCGTTGATGGCAGCTCTACACCTCTATTGAAGGGGGCATATAGTTGACCGTGCTGGAGATATGAACCTCGTAAAAATGGTCATCAGAATCAGTCTCTTTGGTGAACATGAACATCTTAAATGCCTGAAAACCTACATTCTGTCGTCCTAACCATGCAAGGCCTGTTTAGACAGGGAGGGGGAGAGAAAAAGCTCAGCATTTTCATTCATGAGACCCGTCAGTTCAAAGATAGTAGTCTTAAATCTCAGACATGAAAAACTGGGTTCGATGTACAAAATTTCAGAACAGAGCATATGTATTGAAAGAGCAAAGACAAGGGGAAAAATTGAGAGCTCTATGAAATGTTCTTACATTTGGTGGTTACTGACACCCCTATCCTGAACAAAAGCAGTTGTCCAGTACAAAACATAATTCCAATTACACAAACAATAAAAATATTAAAACCAAAAGGACTAGAAATTGGGATGAATGAATTGCTACAAACTCCTTGAGGAAAAAAAAAATGAACTTCAACTAACTCTGCAGCTGACTTTTCTCTTATCTACAGCTTCGCAATTCCTGTTCCGATGTTGATTATATGCATGTCTGCCATAACAGCAAGGAGACCTTGTCGCACAACTAGCGCCCTGCTACATATAATCATAAGTTTCGATCATTATCACGCCATACCATAGCTTAGTTTACGATCCTAAAATAAACTGCAGATTAAGAGATTTTATGAACTTGGACCCTGCTCAGCGAGCTCTGAATGAATCTCAACATGGCGTCAAGTCATCAGAAAGAAACAAAGTAGCCACATTGTGTTGAAAACTCTTTGTGGTGCTTTTGGCCTAATTCTTGTGGAGTTTAGGTGACCCTTAATATTATGCCTCCAAAACAGAACTATTGTACAAATGTCTTGAGGAATTCAAAGATGGAAATAAACAACAGAATGCAACAATAATAACAATACAATAACTTCAAAAACACCAGACTATATAACTAGAAAACAGAACATCAAAGTTAGCTTTAAACCTTAGAGAGCAACCAAATTGTTGTTTAACCTATCTTTTGTGTGTGTGTGGGTGTGCGCGCACGCGCGCGTGTGTGAGAGAGAGAGAGAGAGAGAGAGAGACTCATCTTTAATTATTAAAATATAGACCAACCCCAATCCTAAAATACAGTGGTAGGTTCAGATAAATTACCAGAGTTAAAACAACTGGACCATCCCAGGAAGGTACAAAACTCTCATTGCTGAATCCATCATTTTCTCACGAATGGCTTCTGGCAAACAAGCAGCCTCTTGTCGCTTCCATTCTGAAGATCAATCACCCTTGCTTCCCAACGAATCTGTGTAGCAAGCATACGGGCCTTTTCTACGGGCCCCAGTTTATCTGACAGAATAACCCATCCCTGCCACCAACATAATTGTATCATATGTAAGTGCTATCACAAAAACAAGATATGAAAATAAGCATAAATCTATCCTAGACTTACTAATAGTTAAAAAGTAAAACAAAAATTAGAAACGTGCAATAGGATTTGGCCATTTTAGGATGCACCTTTGAAAGTTTAGATTGAACAAATTAAGTTAAACCCAGGTTCCTTGAAGACTTTAGGAAATAATATTTAGAAAAACAACATTCAAGGCACCAGCAATCAGGAAGGGAAAAAAGGAACAAATAGTATACAAATTACCTCAGGGCGTAGGATACGATCTATCTCAAAAAGCAAGTCCATGACACTGCATCCCTCTGAAGTAAGGTGTGTGAGGAGTCCATTTGCATGAATCATGTCATATGTTCGGGGGTATGTAGGGAAGGGTTCACACCTGTCCCCAATTAATGAAATACTTAATCCAAGTATAAAATCTATAAAAAAAATCCCAAATTTTCAAGGACGTGAAATCGACTGTTAGAAACAAGGCTATAAAGGAAGCAGGTATGATGGTAAACACTCAAAACTACTTATATGAGCCACTGCAAAATAGGTACTATGGCTTTGAGTTCAGGCAGCAGAAGAAGAATCAATTTTCGAAATTATGGAAGTTGAAATTCAGGTCCACAAATTGAGAGAATCCTAGTGGAACCATGACAATTCTTTGATTGTCCCAAAAGCTTCTTAACACAAATTAACAAATATATAAGATATATACAAACAATATCTTAAGTTTGGTTGTTTTATTTCAAACTTCATCATGAAAAAATGATGATATATATCAAATTCAAGGCCTAATTATTCTAGTTGTCTAGTTGACACACTACTCCAATATCTTTCTAAAATTCATTCGAAGAGATAATATTCATTTATAAATGTATGAAGACTATTAAATAAATAAATTCTAAGCGAAAGTTTTCCAGGCTTTGGGAAGGAAAGCCAATCTAATAGAGTTATCGTTAGTGTCCTAAGATAACTGCACAACTGCAACAGGGCTACGCGCACATCTTCAAGTCAAATTTTCCATAAGAATCGAATGATGCCCATTCTCGGACATGTAAAATTAAAAATGTCAAACAAACATCTTACCAGTCATGCAGAACACCCGCAAAACCTTGATCAAGAATGAACGGAAGCGTATTATACACCCCAGTGGGCACAACATTCATCACCCACACTGACTTTTCTGCTTCCAGCAATGCGGCATTGAAACCCCCATAATGAGCATTCATGTCCATCACATTCCGTATCATGTTATGCGGTGGTAAAGGATCTTCATCACCTGGCCTCTTTGGATGGTCAGAGAAAATCAAGGGTGTAAGCAAAGACCAATAGTTTCTCAGAGCTGATCTCCAAAACTGCAAGTCTTCAGAGAAATCTTCGTTATTAACCCCTGCGAATAAAAGAATAAATCAATATGTTGAGATGTTAGAGGCCTAAAGAAGGGAAGGTTCCAGCAGGTTTATCATAAGAGGAAATCAAAGGCAAAATACAACTGGATCTATGTAGCACCAATTAACCAAAAAAATAAAATAAAACCATCAATAAAGCAAAAGATTGCACTAGACAAATACTTTCCATGAACTTCAAGCTCAGCTGAGCTCAGGGAACCAGAAGACCTGTTCTGAATGGGAATCCAACGTTTGCTGGAAGTTCCACTTATACAAGATGTTAGTGGCTGATAATATGATTGCACATCCTGTCCATCTTTACAAAGAGGTAGGGCACCCATCTTGCTACATTTAAGAACCACAAGCAAAAGCACATTAAAAGGGTTTCCTGAGAAATATATCACAAAAGCAAGAAAGAAAACAATAGAAGGCGAAGGGAAAGAATAAAAGAGAGTTGCACAGCACAATTAAAGAAAGAAAGACAAGACACGGAAAATGAAAAAATGTTCATACTTCCAGGCCCCACCTCCAAGCCCAACACCCATACACAGATACCTTAAAATTTGTTAATACGAGTGTCTTAGTATTAGCCTACCTTGATGTATAGCATTGAGCATCCAGAGTTTTCTGCCAGATGAAGGTCTCTTCTTGCTGAGCCAAAAGACTCCAGCAGAGATTACGGGTGAATTCTTCAAATGGTGTCAACATGTTTCCCTTCTTTGCACTTAGTAAACTTCCATGTGGCCTGCTTGTTGGTGAGGTTAAAACAAAGTAACCTCCAGGCTTGAGTAGCCGGTCAACTTCAAGAAGGAACATCCCATCTGAGTCATGAAATCATCATTACAGAGTGACAAAAAATTTTCCAAATTTGAAAATTGTGCTCCTAGGTATGACAATTTAACATGTGCATATTTAATCATATAGCCATGCATGTATTTAATACACTTAACCATCTAAACAAATTCTCCCACTTCAAAATGATTCATAAATTACTAGAAAAAAGGATGAAAGGAGATTTGAAAAGGGAATAGCAAGCTCTGTTGCAGCTTTATTCTGTCAACCCTGGAACAATTTGCCAAATTCAGCATATAGAAAAACCCCCTATCACCTATCAATACAAGAGGTATCAGGAAATTATCACAAGAAAATCCACGCTAAGCTGTACAGATTCTGTGTTTGTATGTGTGCACGCTGGATGACCTCAGAAGGTTTCAGAATTATTTATATTGCTGTACAAGAATCCAAAGACAGTATATACTACTTTTTTTTTTTTTTGGATAAGTAAATCACTGTGAAAGGATAACCATTATGAAATGAAAAAAAACTTAGAGAATCAAAGGCATTATACGACCATATTCAAATACATTAAAGATACCAGAAGCCCAAAACAAAAGGAAGAAAGCAGTCATCTGGTTGCAGCTAGACAAAAATTTCATAAGACACACAATCAAGTGTTTCCCAGTAAAATGGGGAAGTTTTCTCTCTATATAAGGAGCCTTTAGCATCAGAATCATGTGTCTAGTACACTACAGACGATTGATATCCTCACTAACTAAAGATACCTCATGGTTATATTGTATTGAGAGAATTCTACAGGAAATTAGAGCTAAACAACCACAATGTGGTATGATAATATTTATTGGACCAGAAAATTCAGACTGCTGTTGACCAGCAAGTTGCCAAATCCTTGAAGTTGAGAAAGGTTTAATATTCATTTATCATTTCAACACACGAATGAATGAAAATGAAATTTGTGATCTTGGAATTGTTGGGCAATTCACCCATTGAAATATTAAGTATCATCTGACAACTTATGTAAGCTAGAAATCTATGAAGAACTTGACACTGGAAACACCTAATCAAGTCTTCCTGACATTGGGATCGTGTATGATCAAGGTGATGAAGGTTTGTGGAAGGAACACCAATCTACTGCCACATATGGCCAAAAACTTGTTGGAGTTTCAGTTTTAATGTGAATTTAATATTGGGAAGAAAGTGTTCCTTCACTTACAGCAACGGGAACCAAGGTGGGTTCTACTATGATCATCACATTTCAGAGTTGTAATCTAGTTGGAGCATGATTTCCTTTTTTGAATTCCTTTCCCTTCTTATTACACTCATCATTATAGTCTTTCATTCAAATCCTTTCATAGCAATGCGTTATTCACCTAGTGAGCAGTGTTCTATATGTGCCAACATGAACTAAATTCACATTCTTGATATTATTACATTCAGAACTGAAACTGATTAAGTCAAAGAGTTATTCCCTTTTTTGGTCTGTTCCAAAATGCGCTTTCCCTTGCTGTCTTCTGTAGTCAAATGCAATTTCATGGCAACGTTCCATAAGTAGCTTGGTGGACCCCATGTGTAGGTTTATTATATAGTACATTCACTTACCGAAACAGACAATTATTAGATCAAATCTAGAAAAAGGATATGTGAACAATTTGGGTTAGAGGGAACAATACTAAACTATCTCTCTGTCTCTCTTTGTGAGTCTGAGAGCGCACGTGAGTGCTTGTGCAAGCGCTTGTAATAGGTAAATAAGTATCACTAGACGGCATATGTAGTCAATCTACAAGGGAGTTCATTGTTTTCACATACATAGTAACATCATGTAACCTTACTAAACCTCTTCATGTTCGAACTTATTATCTTGGGCACTTGTGTGTGTTGCAAACTATTTTAAGGGCACACTAAATATGTCCAGGCTCAATATCCATCAATAGCAACTCATAAATTACATCAAGGCGTAATAATTGTGCAAAATGAATAAAAGGAAATAACCCTGGCTGTTGGTGAAAAAATTGATGAGTTGGGCTTAAGTTTCTATGGGCAAATAAAGTGCGTATATCCCACTATAATTAGCTACTAGAGTGTGAAGAATCTACTGTTGTAAAAAAATTTCAAAATCCTTCATGAGATCCAAATTTTTAGCTGGTAAACTTCATTTATTGTGAAAACTAATATTGCCCGTAGATTCAGTAGATAATTCTGCTCTAACTGTTTTTTCTGCTTATCTTTTTACCTCCTAAAATATGGCCTTTTTCACAAACTATTAGCTTCACTACAAATTTATCCAACAAACCTTCTTCGTAATGCTTTCACATAGAAAGAACAACCTGTTGTTCATGTTGATGATATTATGGTACCAATCTCTAGCTGCAAACTCTAGATGCACACCTTCATATCCATTTGGTCCCCCAAAAAACCACAAGTTTGAAACTCTATAAGGGTAGAAAAGGAGAGGAAATACACAAAAAGTCATGACGATTGACCCTTTTCTATGTCTGGCCAAACAGGAAAAAGAAGATGAAGATTTAGAAATGAAAATCATATGGGACACTGGTAACAGTTGTTCCAAAGGCAGCTAGGATGGGTATAAAAATGTCAGTGTTCTTAGTAAGTGCTCACAGAAGTATGGGGAGTGGGAGGCCATGTGGGGAACTCCTCGATTTGTCAATAGGTGACTAAACCGGCTGAAAGTCCATTGTAAGAATAACAATAAAGACTTTCCTTCTCCAGTCCAATCTTCTTTGTCCACCCATCCAGACAGCTATGAGGGATAAGAATTAAGTCATGTTCTATTGATTCAAGTTAAAATTCAACGGTATCACATGACAATGATTGACATATTATTAGTATTGAACATGTGAAGCTTGTATGAATGAAAAGATATATGTACGTTAACAACCGGAAAGTTAAGGAGAATAAAATGGAAAGGCCTAAAAAATATCCGGAAGCTCATGTAACAATTCAACAAATAAAATTAGCGGAATACTAGTAAATATCATATGAAACATTCAATTGTTATCTAAAATCCATTCACTTATGGGACTAACTCAATGTTATTGTTTTCTGACAGAGAACAGCGATACATCTTAAATGGAAAGTATTTCCCAGTTTCGAAAATACCTCCATGTGTCAGTTTTTCCATTTTAGCATACAAAACATAACAGCCAAGAATTTAAATACCTTAAAAGTTGTTCTGAGTATCCCAATAAGAGTAATATCTAATTAATACCAAGGGCTAATTTCAGTTTGCACCCCAAAAGATGCATCAATTATAAATTCGCAGCCTCAAACATTTAAAATCTCAATTTGCACTCTCAATGTTATGAATTGGTAACAATGTGAATCTCGCCCAAATTGTCATTCAGTTTTTCGTCATAAATTGAAGCACTTGAGTAGCAAGTGCTTTGGGCATAGGCTTATGTGTAAATTCACAAATTGTTGGCGTCTCAGGTAAGTTGCACATGATAAGGTTAGACTCTATCTAATTAATGAAACCGTATTTTCGATATACAAAACAGTGTCAAATTGATCACCGATGAAGATCTATAGCGATTGACATAACTTATCCACATGCTCGAAACACTTGCACCTCACGTGTTTTAATTTATGACAGAAAATTGAATGACAATCTAAGTTGGGTCCACATTGCTACCTATTCATAACATTGAGTGTGTAAATTGATATTTTTACTATTTGAGGTTGTAAATTGAGAATCGAAGCATCTTTCAAGGTACAAAGTGAGATTAGCCCTAATATCAATTCCACTTAATATTACTCAATGAAGAAATGGTATTATTGAGCGGTATTAATATTGTAAATCTAACCATTTTGTCAGAAAACCTACCCATATAGCTTTACACTTTGAAAACTTAAAAAGTGTTAGAAGAATAAAATATGTGCGATATTTGAAAGAATGGAAAATTTGGGCGAATATTTGATGAAATTTATAAAAAAAAAAGGCAGCATCAGCCAAGAAACAGCTGACAATTTATTGCATCTGCGGCACTCAGAAGATGGCTCGCCCACAAAACTAATCTTAGGTTAATGGGGAGTTCAAATCTTTGGCCAACAACTCTAAGAGTACCTTTGTTGTCCCAGATGATACCACACTTAGCACAGTGAACCATGTCATAAGATAATGATGGGAATGGAAGCTGTCTTGAAAGGAAGTTTCCAATAATTGCAGGAAGACCTCTCTCAAGGGCTAGCTGAACTTGGCTACCGGTTAACTCATATGCTGCAATACAAACAGCCATTAACTTAAGCGAGATCAAATGAGCCCCAAAGCTACCAAAGCCACAGCCAATATCTAGTACGCTGTGCACCTGCAATTAACACAAAAGAAAGATCTAAACACGAGATATAGCAATGCTGCATTTAACAGTTGAAAGAGGAAGAAAGCAAAACACAAAGTACTTATGGCATTTAGTATAAACAAGTTTTGGAGACCCAAGAAGACAATGGAGTATCCTAATTAAAAAGCCCATCCCTTGATACCCAACCAAACCCGAAATGAGTAAGGTCCATGCAGAGAAAAGCAAAACTTACACCAACTTGACGAAATTCGGAGTCACTTCCCAACCCTATCATTTCTGCTATTTGGCGAGAGTAATCTTTGACATCATCAAAAATCATTCCATCATCCGAGTGGAAGGCAATTTGATTCTCTTCTAGTAACATTAACCTAGATAATTTGCAAAAGTAGATTTATAGGGAGGAAATTCGTAAATATAAACATATAAAACGACCGTGGAACCTTTGTTTGCATGTGCGTGCGTGTTTTTTTCTTTCATGCTTATACATCTTAATCCCAGAGGCTCAAATGAAATTTGCAAAGAGAAAAGAGTGCAATTAATATTTCCCTACATTGTATAACATCACAATTGGAATTCCACAAGAGAAATTACCTTTTCGTCATGCTTCCTGAAGATAGAAATTGGTCTTTTGATATCTTCACATTTCCACTCCAAATCACATCCCTACCAGCTGGCCAACTCAGGGGAATCTTATAGTCCTTAGGAGGACGAACCAAACAATGTTGTTGCTCCCGTGATTCTTCACAATGCCGATCAACCTCCTTCCCATCATTAAAACCAGCTAACAAATTACCAGACACATTATAACAAGGTACATAATTCTCTCTTTCTTTGCCACAGAGAGTAAAATCCTTTTGAAGACTAGCTTCAACTGTCAGACTCCTCAATTCCAAATAATCACTTCTCGCTTGCTCTTTCAGCCTTCTATAGTTCGTATAAACATCAGGTCTTGTAGTGGAAGTCAAAGAGTCAAAGGCACTTGACGAAGACGATCCCAATAATGCAATTAGAACTAAAATACTAACAAGACATATGAGTAACCAATTGAGAGGTGGCCTAGGGCCGAAAATTAAAGACAGTTTATTGGACCAGGAGCTTCTCATGTCCAAATTGTGCAGCGTCCTTTAACAAATGACCTGGGAAAACCCACAATAGGGCCTATTGATTTAACCTAAATCTCCAAGAAATAAGAAAAACATAGCCTATCATAACCGATGAACTCTTATATGTATTCATGAGAACCCTAACACTTTTTAGAGGCATTGAAACAACCACCCTCTTCCTTTGCAACCACAAAATACACAAACTATCTGTCCCATCAGAATTACGCGACTAAGGCATCAGAAACTCCAAGACCATCAAATAACCATCCAAATCCAATTCCAAAATAAGCAATTCAGATCACGAAGTGTCCCTTCAATGCCTGATATAAATCAATAACCACTCACAACTCTATACAATGTCAATTTTCTAAATATGCACTATACTTTCTCGCAATCTAACCAATACGATCATATAATCCCAGTACACCTTCAGATCAACCTGCAATATTGAGTCATAGATTCACAAAATCAAACAACTAAGTCGCTTAAAATAATTTTTTTCATTTCAACAATCTACATTACAATACGTTCAGATCTCATACACAGATCAGATCAGAAGCAAAATTGAATCAACACTGGGATAACAATGGTATCGACCAGCATTGATTGACTGAATTGCAGATAGAAAATGTAGTTAGGGTTTTGGCATACCGGGTCGTTCAAGTGTACGTATATGAATATATGTATATATAGATGAACGTTAAGAAAGCTATGCGGAGTTCGAATTCGCCATTGACAGGAAGAGAGAGAGAGAGGGTTGCAGCTTTTGGGGGGATGAGATAAAAAATGATTACAGGAGAATAAAGTGTGCTATTTATTGCTTACTGCGCTTTCTTTAATTGTTGGAGTTGTTTGGGTAAATTACACTTTATCACCGTACTTACGTTAAAAAAATGAAAAATTTTAGCCACACAGTTTATTATATTTTCAAAGATACTCTCACTATTTTTTAAATTTTCATGGACACCCCATCAGATTAAAGGTACTAATTAGAATGAAATTTTACTAAATTAAAAAAACTCCATACACACCCCTCTAGATAGAAATATCTTCAATTAGACCTCTCTATTTTCTAATTTTTTTTATGTATTAAAATTTAAGCAGATTAATATTTGATTCGAGCTAATTAAAATTTATTTTTTAAGTATTAAAATTTGAATCAATTAAAATTATATTTTTTTGAGTATTAAAATTTGATCCGATTAAAAATCAGTTTGAATCAATTTTTAATCAACTCGCGTTAAATTTTAATCGGCTCAAATTTTGATAAATAAAAAAAAATTAATTTTAATTAACTCAAATTTTAATCAACTTGAATCGAATTTTAATTAATATGAATTTTAATAAGTAAAAAAATCTAATATTTAATCGACTCGTAGCGAATTTTAATCGACGCTAACAACTCAAGTAGAACTCAAATTAAATTGAATTTTAATACGTAAAAAAAATAAATTTTAATCAGCTCAAAATCGAATTTTAATCGATTCAAATTTTAATATGTAGAATAATAAATTTTAATCAGCTTGAATTTTAATACGTAGAAAAATAAATTATTTAAAAATCTCTTACTTTTAAAAATCTATAATAAAACATGATTGTAACTTTTTTTTTTTGGTGCCAGGTTTACACCAATTTTTTCTTTGAACTCTGAGCCGACCACTGTAACTCAAGTTAGTTTAAAGACATGTCTCTTAAGAAACAAAAATGGTTGACATTTAGGGTGTGTGAGAATTGTCGAACCTAAAACCTCTTACTTCCAAAAAAAACATATTTGACGACCCCTAAGAGTTAACAAGACTGTAACTTGACTTAGCACAACAATGACCCAAATCATTTAAATCTATCGACTTATATTATAATTTTAATTTTAATTTTTTAATCATAGTAATTCAACTCATGTATTAAAAAAAAAACGTGTTTTGCACATCACCACACTAGTCTCTCATGACAAAGTAATGAGGATTATGACCAAAAAATAAAAAATAATACTTGAAAATTAAATATTTTTAGTAAAAGAATAATGTTATTTGTAGGTAAACTTTTATCAAATGCTTGGTATATTCTTAGTTATTGAATGGTTAGTTAAAAAAACCCTTCTTCTAATTATGGTCTAATGACGTGCATTTTGATACAATCACCACGCATATATTTTTTAAAAAGTCAATAAAAGAGTGAACGACGCACGTGAAGCACATGGGTAGTACGGAGCCATTTTCTAATCATGGGTGAATGGTTATCCCATAAAAATCAATTAATTCTACCGTCAATTGAATTAAAAATGTCATACACTTCACATCTTAGGCAATTTGTACAATTGGCAAGTCAAAATTGGGGGTAACATCCTGAAACCAAGACGTGACATATTGATTAAAACAGCATTTGAGATGATTTTTAGGACTAATGACTTCTTATAAATATTTTTAGTAAAAATATATATATATTTAAAATAATTTAATTTAATTACCTCCTAATAGGTTAAAAGCAGTTTTACCACTTAAATAAATAAGTAATTAAAAAAATAACTTTTATTTTTTAAAAATTACTTCTTAATAAAACACTTATCATTCTTATATTTATTATTACTATTATCACCATCATTCACCACCATCAGCTATCACCATCGCCCACCACAACCACCCCTAACGCCCATCACTACCACTATCACCGCGAATAATTGTAAGCTGATAAGAAAGTGGCGGTAAAAGTTAGTGGTAAGATGGTAGTAAAGAATGATTAATAATAACGTACATTGCATGAGATCACTGCTAGTATATTTTATATATATACTAGTTATTGTCTACGCTTGAAGGTACAAAATAATAAAAAATGGTAAACAATAAATATATTTATATTCATATTTAAATTCAAATCACAAACATAGAGAAAATATAAAGAAATTTAAGCATTGTTTTTACAGTGGAGGTAAGAAGTGGTGGGCGACAGTGGTAGTTGTAGAAGACGGTGATGGTTTGTGGTGGGTGGCAATGATAATGTTAGCGGTGGTAGCGACGGTGGCAACGACTATGGTGGTGGCAGTGGTGGTGGGGGTGGTGGCAGTGGCGATGGGGGCTGGTGGTGGCGACGGTGGTGATGGCAACGATGGTGGTGATGGCCGTGATAATGGTGGCGACGGTGGCATTGGCAGTTGGAGGGTAGTAGAGATAGAGGTAGTGGTGAACCGGTTTCAAGTAATATTTCTTTTAAAGGATTTATGAGAAATTTTTTTTAAAAATATTTCTAAAAAATACTCCAAACACCATTAGGGCTCCTATTTTTCATATTAAATTTATGATATTAATATTAATTGTTAGATTAACTTTAAAGAAAAATTTAAAACGATCTCAACAGCGAATAACAAAAATTATTTTGTTTATCTTTTAAAATTTAAATTATAAACTATTTTATTATATAAATATATGCATAATATAGGAATCTTGGTGCTAAGGGAGCACATTTCATGACAAAAGCAACAAAACAGTATTATTCTTACTAGATATTGTATCAAATTGTATTAATTTTTTTGGGGCAAAACAGATTAATCTAACTACTAACATTTTTTTGATAAATAATAGTTAGAAAAAAAACATTGTATGCACATTTTTACTCTTCATAATGTGTATTTCTTTTGTTTTTTAAATTATTTCCTTAAAACTTTTTTTTTCCCTTTTTGTATTGGACTTTCATGTTGCCATTTATTTTTACAGCATGTTTGGTACGTGTGGAAATAGGATGCATGAAAAAAGTAAATTTTCACTATTTGGTTAAGAAGGAAAGACGGAGAGAAAGAAAAATAAGACGGAAAAAGAATCCTTCCCGCCCACCAAAATGAATTATTCCAAAAATGGGAGGAAAATGGGGAAACAATGGATTGACACGGGTGTCCTGTCGGCAATGCGATCTACAACTTTTGTTAGACCTATTGACATTTTAGTCCTTTGAGCCTTTGAGGACATGTTTAGTAGTACGGAAAATTTTAACCGTACTCTCTCTAATTTGTTATATCTTTAAGGATATTTCTTATATTTTTTGAATCTTTAGTAACACTTATTCTGGTTTAAGCTAAATATTAATAACACCTCGTACCATTAAACTATCATTTCTAACAAAATTTTTTTATCTAAAATATCAAAAATACTCCTACGTAAACTTCAAGTAATTTTTTTATATAAAATTTTATTAAAATTTGAGTTGTTAAAATTTTAAAAAAAATTCATTNCTCCTACGTAAACTTCAAGTAATTTTTTTATATAAAATTTTATTAAAATTTGAGTTGTTAAAATTTTAAAAAAAATTCATTAATAACAATTTTAGTAAATAATTTGTTAGTAAATACTAATTTGTTATTTACTAATTTATAAATTTTAAAAAAAATTTGAGCCTATTAAAATTTATTTTTTACATTTTAAAATTTGAATCGATTTGAACTCTACCCAAATTGTTAACGCCGATTAAAATTTATTTTTTACTTATTAAAATTCGTGTCAATTAAAATTTGATTTAATAAAATTTGAGTTAATTAAAATTTGGATTGATTAAAATTTGATTTGAATAGATTAAAAATAATTTTTAATTGACTCAAATAAAATTTTAATTAACTCAAATTTAATACGTAAAAAAAATATAATTTTTAATTGGCTCAAATTTTAATATGTAAAAAAATAAATTTTAATTAACTTAAATCAAATTTTAATCTGCTCGAATTTTAATACGTAAAAAAAAATAGAAAACAGAAGGGGGTCTCATTAAAGATATACTTATCTAAAGAGGGTGTGGATGAAGTCTGTCCTCAAATATATCATGAGTAATTTAGTAAAATTATATTTTAGTTAATATTTTTAATCTGACAGAGAACGTCACTGAAGATTTAAAAATTAGAGGGAGTGTCCTTTAGGATATGATAAACTAGAGAGGGTGTGGTTGAAATTTTCCATATCCATAACTATTTAAGGGCATTTATTGTATTGAATTTGTAATTATTTATTTATTTATTTAAAAATTATCTCTCCCACTTTTTTATCTTTTCTACCAAACATAAAAATTGAAAAGATATTAGTGTTGTTCTATCCCTTCTACCAAAAATTACTGTTAGTGTTGTTCTGTCACTTCATCTTACTGACGTTGATAGAATAAAACGAAAGACAGAAATACTATATTGCGATATTTTTAATATTAAAAATTTAATATTAAAAATTTAATTTTTGAAGATAATAATTAAATCTTTTTAAATCTTTTTGGGTTCAAAGTGCAATTTGCTCTTACTTGTACAATTGAAAATCCAATACCCACGACCACGTGTATATAATGACCTCTAAATTACACGTGAGGGTGTCACTCAAAAAACCGGGTTCCGCATTTCGGACCATCCATTGTCCTCAAAAACACGAACCGACACCTTTTTCAATCGTCGTCGTCTTCCGATCCCTCTCTCAGATCGAGTTTCGATTCTCTCCCCACCTGTTGTTTAATCCTTAAATCGACCCTCGATCTGTTCGATTCGCGTTATTCTCTGTCTATTGATCCTTCTCTTGGCGCCAGCCGTTTTGTCTACGTAATTCTGCGGTTTAAGGTTTCGTTTGTCAATCTCCACCATCGAAGCCTCCGATTTCTCGAACTTGGCGTCGTTAATATTGATTTCACAATTTTGACGTTTCCCTCTATCGATCGATTGTAATATTTTCGATTTTGGTCAGGCCTGTGTAGTTTTAGGGTTTCGAATCGTTCTGATTGGTAAAGTTCGTTGGATCTGTAAATTGGTCGAGGGTTTTCGTAAGGTATATTGTCAGATTGTTTCCTATATCTTTTGATTGCAGTTCTGTTGATTATGGCGCAGATTTGGGGATCTGGATTAGGGTTTATGAAATTTTTTTGAGGGCCTGTTTATATGCTGAATTTTTTTGGGGAAAGTTATAATTCCATTCAGAATTGACGTTTACCTCGTTTAATCATTGTTTTTGAAGGTTCACTAGTATAATTGCATGCATAGACATACGCTTATTTTTGAGGGCCTGCAGTACACATAATTTTGTGTTTTTTTCGGAGATAGTTCTTTTGGTAAACAAAATCAAATAAGCAAAAAAGGCAACCCAAAAAAGGTACCAAATGGCCCTAAAGGAGTATTTGTTCTACTTAATTGCCAGTTGCATTTGACTTTATTACTTGATGCCAAAACTGGTAGTTATGCCACTGTCTGACGCGCTATTACCGGAAAGGTGTCCATGAGGTTGTGTATTTTGTGACCCTTGCTGTTTCTAGACATGAGGTCAGGTGAGGTAGTAGACTATTTCGTTAGGTAAGCTGCCAAATGTAAGATTTTAGCACAGGCAATGCTGTTCACAGTATCAGTACCTCTCACTTCTCCAATATAGTGTAATATCTGTCCTAATCAATTTCGTTTTGTCTACGACTTCAATACTAAATGCCAAAATTTATCATTATGATGTTTGTTGTTACCATTATTTCGTTGTGGTATGCATCATCAGTAATTGTTTGCATGTTGGCCATTACCCTGATTTCATCTATGCGGTCCTTTGTGAAACCTAATAAAAATTTTTGTATCCTATTTCACTGTTAAATTTTCAAACATATGCAGTAAGTGCCAATGCCCTTTATGCCTAGATTTTGGACCTTGTCCAAATTTAAAGAGGATGCATTCTGGTGTGTCCACAGTCCAAAATCACAAAATGCTCTTTTTTTTATTATTGCAGGTAACATGGGATTTAAAAGACCTTTTGATGAGGAGGAGTTCCAGGAGTTTTCGTTTAAGCACCCAAAACAACATGACACTGCCAATAAGCTGACTTCATTAGGAGAAAATTGTTCTCCCAATGAAGCATCTAAGAAATCTGATAATACAGGTAAAAAATGGGTAATAATTTCTATGTTTAATATATATATTGTCTGTTGCACAGAAATTATTTATAAGATGACAAAACTGGTTCTCATATCCTTGATTTTTTAGTAAATAAACGTATCTATTGCTACTGATTTTGTTAGAGCATCCAACTCAAAACCAAATGGCAATGATTGTAGAGGCCCTTTAAGAATATAAACCAATCAAGTGGGACAAGTCTCTTTACCAATTTGAATTTCTTGAATGCATGTTTGTCTATTTGTTTGTTAGCCCACATGTGACCTTGGGTCTCATGTGAGGCTGGTTGTAAAGAGAGTTTGTACCACATCGAATGATTAGGACTACCCTAGAGATTTTATTGTATTGTTTTAAGACGATCTGTTTCACTCCATCTGAAAGTATCCGAGTTCATGTTAGTTCTAAGCAGAGTGGTATTTCTCCATTTTGCATGTGTTGTGTGGCACAACTAGATGTGGCATGTTGTTGACTTTACTGAACCTTTTGCTTTCTGGTACGTATACTTAATGAGAACCGTATCATGTTCTGGGGGTGCAGATGAGGGCATCTTTTGCAAATTTCAATCTGGTGTGGGGCTTGAAAATGATAATGTAAATGGTTTCTCAGATTTGGCTGACAAGGAGTTTGAGAACAGTGCACCTTCATCATGGGGCAGCAGCACTACTAGTGAGGAAGATGCTGGATCTGGGACAGCATTTTGCCCATCTTTTACTCCAGAATATTTTGAGTTTAACTTTCCAAGGCGAACTTTCATTCAGTTGGGGGACGCCTACTCGTCATTGCTGAATTCTTCTCCAAGAAGAGAAGTTCCTCTTGGACCAGATTATCAGGCCGATGTGCCAGTATGGGAGCCAGGGGTAGTCAAGAAACATCCTGTGGATGGTGGTGACGTCGCTGGCGATGACAATGAGGAGCAAATGATGGGAGTTTGCGTTATTTCAATGCCCAACTTGAATTCATCTGCTTATGATGGTGTGAAGGCTGGAGATGGCCGACGCGATTGTAGCTGCCTGGATCAAGGTTCTGTTAGATGTGTGCGGCAACATGTCAAGGAAGCACGGGAAAAATTAAGAGAAACCATTGGGTGTGAGATCTTTGCTAATTTGGGGTTCTCTGGCATGGGAGAGGAGGTAGCACACAACTGGACAGAAAAAGAAGAACGGTTGTTTCATGAAGTGGTTTATTTTAATCCCATGGCACTTCACAGAAAATTTTGGGAGCAACTTGCACTGATGTTCCCATCTCGAACAAAAAGGGAGCTTGTTAGCTATTATTTTAATGTCTTCATGCTTCAGAGGCGTGCTGTGCAGAACAGATCTAACTTGCTGGAGATTGACAGTGACAATGATGAATGGCAGGGAAATGATGGAAGCTCCTTTGTAGTTGGAGGAGAAGATGAAGACTCTGCAGTTGAGTCTCTTGTTGATCAAGATGTCTGGGTTACCCATAATGAATCCCCAGATGAAAGTGGCTATGATGATGAGGATGAATATGCTGATGACGACAATGATGATAGTAATTGTGACGAGGAGGCTGGTGTGGCAGGTACTATTGAGGGAAATAGAGAAAGTGGTCAAGTGTCAAGGGCACAAATCGAGAAGTTGCCTGATAAAGGCAAGTTGGATCTTAAGCTTCATCATATGGATAACATTCCAGGGGGTATCATGGGGGATTATTCCATTGTTGAAGAGGACTGGCATATGTCGTCCACGGACTCCCATGGTCCAAATGGTGCAAGCGATGCCATACAAGTGAGCGGTTCTAATAATGACCATAAAACCTGCTTGCGTGGGAAAAATTTTGGATCAGATGATGGGTTTTGTACTGGATATTTATTGGAACCTTGTGATGCTAAGGTTTGGGATTCCACATATTCAATGGGTCTGTTGAAAGGTGTTGATCTCCTACCCACATGCAACATTATAGAGGAGATATTCGGACCATGCACTTGGGACAACAAATCGAGCAATTCTAAGCATTAGCTAATGCTTATCCAAGATAGAACTTCCCAGTATTTACCTTGAGAGTGTTTCACTGCACCCTTGGTGTGAGCCAATAATGCTGGCAAGATCGTCAGTAGACCGGGCAACAGCCTCCGCTGCCTTGGAGCTTCCGGTTTTGACTATGTACATTCATTCTGTGAATTATTGTGTGTGGGCGAACGTTGCAGAAATCTTACTGCTTAGGCGTCAACCCTGATTTTGTTGTCTCTTTATAGAAATCTTTTGTTTTTTGTTAAACTAGGACTCTTTTTTTTATGGTGATTCATAGTTTTGATTCTTGTAAATACTCTTGACTAGTGTTATGCACTTATGCCTGTCATTAGCACCTGTACTGCCTTGTCAACAGATGAAAAAGGGTAAAGGGAGAACATAGGACAATGAATGAAATGTTGAGCTGCTTTTGGTGAGGGATTTTTTTTTTTTTTGCTAACTAGGATTTATCCGAGTCTCATACAACACTCTCCTAATCTTTTCGAATACATGCAATCTTTCCTTCTATCCATCATGTGGATAAATTCCTAGGCCCAATAACTTGGTAAGATTTGATCATGTAATCTCACTATTTTTTCCAGGTTGGGGCTGCCATGTGAAATGCTAGAAGCATTTTTTTTTGTTCTAACATTTAGGAATGTTCGGAATAGTTTACGCATGTCACGACTAATCTTTTTTCCGATCCAATCAAATATAGGTTATCAACGCTGGGATTAGGATATTTAGGAGGTACAAATCTTTTATGACGTGACCTTAAGAAATTGTTAAAATTGAATTTACAACTAATTTCTGTTATCATTTAAGCTATTCTTTAAAGTTTCAGCAGCATTTTTTTGGCAAAACAAAGAATATGGAATGATACACACCCAATAAAGATGAACAACTTGTAACCATGTGGGAGCCTATTCAAAGCACCTCATTCATATGAAGCAAAAGCTAAATGATAAAGACACCATAAAAAATATGCTACATAATAATTTTCCATTGTTATTAGGATCATCCAAAAATGTATTTTGGTCCTTATGTTTGTACTTATATGGGAATGACCACATTTTCGATGCCGATTTGCAATATTGTCAAACTAGGAAATATTTAGGTCTCTTAGAACAACCGACAAAATCTTTAGATAAAATGTTTCGTCCCTTTCGTAATAAACAATAATCAAATACAGAGATTTAAACTCACAGGACACTCTATTGCTTCTCTAAGAATTGTTTCTCTTTTTCTTATTTTTTCTTTTTTTCGGGGGAGGGGGGGAGAATGAGATTTTATAATTTCCTCAAAAAGGAACCCCACAAGCCTTGCTACTCAAGTTTGAGTATTATATCCCAACTCATACTGCCCTTTACATATTTAATTCAATGCTGTCCACGTCTTAACTCTTTAATTGCAAAAGGTTTGTAATAAAAAATATATTTTGAGCTGGTATCGAAAGAATATTCGGTACAAGTTTAAATACGCAATAAATAAAAAAATAAACCTCAGGTACTATCTATGAAAAGTCGAGTGTAAGTAAAAATTTTTGGGCACATGAGACCAGCAGAAGCATATGGCTGGGTTGACTTAGCCAATGAAAGAAACTGTTGGGTGGAGATTCTGATGAAATTAGCTGTTTTTAAGTTTGCCCTTGAAGGCATGACAGGCTAAACAATAGTTGTTTTAATTGTTGTGTGTGTGTGTTGGTGTTTTGTTTTGTTTGGGGTGGGGGGTTGAAAAGATTTACCTGGGAAACTGTTTCTCAACAAATTCTGGATAAGGGCTTTTATCAAGTGGGAATGTTTTACAATGAGTTGATAATATAAAAACTAAACTAACTTTCATCTGCTAACTTTTAGATTTAATAAACATCGTTTGTAATGCACAAGACTCTCGATTATAGCGAGATCTTATAAAATTAAGTAGTATACAGTCTCATTTGATTATTATACTCAAACTCTAAAACGTTTGCAAGAATAATCATTTATTATTGTAAGAAATCTTATTTTTATGAGGTAAACAGAAGAGACGGTTGGTTAAGGATCGTTATTTGTGAAAAAGAACGTATGGAAGAGACATATCTAACCCTTTGCTAATTAACCGTTCCTATTTGACCATGTCAAATTTGGTTATGTAAATTATTTCCTTGTTAAAAATTGGCACACATAAAAAAAAAATTAAGTATATGCAATATTTATTTGGCCCCCTAAAGTTATGATTATTTTTTTTTATACCTATTTGACATTTGTAAAGTTTTTGATTCCAGCATTGCCCAAGGTATGTTCATACTTAGTTAGCTGTGCTAATGATCGTGTGTAACTACCAATATCTAAGTTGGTTACCAAGTTTCCATCATACACATGATGCCATGGACTCATAGAGTGAAATCTGTTTTTTTTTTTTTTTGAAGTTTAGACTTCTCGAGTAAGTTTACGTGTGTCTCAACTAATTCTCTTTCTCCTCTGATTAAAAATAAGTCATTTACGAGGGAATTAGGGTATTCATTATCTTAATAAGTTATTAAAATTCGAATTCAAAACGTTTGAGTTTATACTTTATTTATTTACCACTTGAGCTGCCCTTGAGATTGAGTGAAATCTATTTGGTAACGAAGAAAAATACAACATAGGGCTTAGAGTACGATTTTTTGATAATATATTTTTTTGGTTAATCATAAAGTCACCTATGTATCTATTATCTTTACGATTAGTAACTAGAAATAATTCAAAGATCTATAATTGATTTCATTTTATTTTTTGTAAATATTTTAGTTTAGGCATGTATGACTTATTTTTGATTGAACTAAGAAGAGAATTAATCAAAATAAACATAAATTAGCCCGAACATTTTTTACCGTCCAAAAAAAAAGAAAAGAAAAGCCAGCTGCATATCAGATGGGGCAAAATGTGGAAGTTCAGAGAGCTATAACGGCTGAAGATTCGGACCTTTCGTGGGTGTGACCTTATGAGCAAAGACAAATGAAGGGATGAAAGTGTTTGGATGTGTTTAGTTTCAGTGTATTATGGTAACACATTCTCTACTTGTCAATCTCAAACATTAGATCCTCAGGAAAAAAAAATCCAACAGATCTTGACCGTTTGATTGGAACAACGAAGTATTCTCATATATATACACGTGCTCTCAAGATTGTGTTCCCCTCTTTCTCTCTTATATTTACTTCCATGCATGGAATTCTCCTCCAACTACAACACAAAAACAAGAGATATAGAGAGAGAAAATAGAGAGAGAGAGAGGTAGAGGGGAAAGAGTCTTTGGGTTCTGTTTTAATTGATTATCTTTCATAGACTTTGTTCATGGCCATCATTAGAGACCCACTTGTTCAAACTTTGATTTTTCTCGTTAAATTCTTCAAAATTCTGAAGATTCAATAGGGGATTGCATAGATATGGAATTCAAAGGGTCTCCCTTTTGTTGTGGGTCTGAGTTTTGTACTTTCCGCAACTGTAATATCTGACTACTTTGATCTTGTGAAAACCCAAAACAGACTTTGTGATCTGTGCCAAACCCACATAGCAGAGTTGAGCTTTGTGATCTGGGTCCTTTTTGGCTTCCTCTGTTGCTTTACTATCTGGGTGTGTTTGATGGTAAGAGATCAAGAAATGTGACATTTTTGCATAATCTGAGCTGTCAAATTGTTTTGTGTACTGGTTTTCGTTTGTATTTTGTGTGATCAGTCTACTCAATCAATGGAAGAAGCTGAAGAATTAAGGTTTGTTTGCAAGTTGTGTGACAAAAGGTACCCATGTGGGAAGTCACTGGGGGGTCACATGAGGTCTCATGTGATTGCAAATTCTGCTGAATCACAAGAAAAAGTTGAAGCCTATATGAAAAAAGTGTCTTGTTTCAATGGTGAAAGGAATTCTAGTTCTAAGATGGAGACTAGATTTGAGTTTTCTGGGAATCCTGGTTATGGTCTCAGAGAGAACCCCAAGAAGACATGGAGGATTGTGGATTCAAACAATCCTTTGCCCCAGGACAAGGTCTGTAAACAATGTGGTAAAGGGTTTCAATCACTGAAAGCATTATGTGGGCACATGGCTTGTCACTCAGAGAAAGAGAGGGTGTGGAAGGATGATCATTCATGGACTAGTCAGAATCAGAAGCAAGTGATGGATAGTGATTCAGACACAGAGGCTGGGGATCCAAATCAGGGAAGAAGATCCAAAAGTAAGAGGTACAAAACGTTCTCTGTTAAATCTTCTTTTACTTTTGGTAATGGGTCTGCATCTGTTTCTGAGATTGATGAGCAAGAACAAGAAGAGGTAGCTATGTGTTTGATAATGTTGTCTAGGGATTCTGGGATTCGGGGCGGTGTGAATTCAGTTGTGGAGTCTTCTGATAACAATTCAGTGGTCTTAGAGACTAAATCATCTTCTATTGATATGAGAATTGGTAGAAAGGAAGTTCTTAACTCTGTAGATAACAATGGTGATGAGACTCTGAGAATGAAGAAACTAGGAGGAAAGAAATTAAAGTCTAGTGTTTTGGATGATGAGATTGCTCAATTTGAGAGTTCTGACTCTGATTACTTCATAAATGGATCTAAGAAGGTTGAATCAGACATTTCTGATGATGGGGTTCTCAGAAATGGTGAATACAAGAAGCTTGAAGTGAGTGGTGATGCTAAAATTGATGAGTCTGGTGCTAAATTAGAGAAGGGTGTAACCAAATGCTATGAAACAGGAGGGGAGAAAGATTTGATTAAGAAAAGAGTGTATTATGATTCTAGAATTGTTCCTAATTCGACAAACTATGATAAAAGAAAGAGAACCAAGGATGGTTCCTATAGTCCTGAATCTTCAGATGCCAAAGCATATGAAAATGCTCACAAGAGAAGCAAATATGAGTGCTTGACCTGCAAGAAGGCCTTCAGCTCTTTTCAGGCTCTCGGGGGACACAGACCGTGCCACAAAAGAAACAATGTCTGTATCAATTCAAGATATGAGAGTGGTGAGAACAGCATAGAAGGTGGTATTAATCCTGATTTCATACCCAATGGAAAGTTTCAGAAATCTATTAGTTACAAGAACCCAATTGCCAAAGATTTGTCTTGCAATGCTGAGAAAAAATCTAGGTCCAAGAAAAGCAAAGGGCATGAGTGCCCATATTGCAACAGGATTTTCAAGTCTGGCCAAGCTTTAGGGGGTCACAAGAGGTCTCACTTTATTGGAGGGCGTGAAAACATTAGCAATCAGACACCATTAATCAAGCAAGATATTCCTGATTTACTTGATCTCAATCTACCTGCTCCTATGGATGATGAGGCAGATGGACAAGTTGAATTCCTCCCATGGTAAGTAGGAGGCGGCCACAAAGCATGAACGGCTGGTGAGCTGATCTCGATGCAAAATTTACTTTGGTAATTGTTCTATGAAGATGCTTGAGCCTGCCCCAAGAAGTTGAGATACAATCTTTGTTGAGTTGGGGGATTCCATTTCTCTATAAGCTCTTCAGTCGATTTTTGCTGATGTTCAAGGATGGTTCAAAGGTGACAATTGCATTGCAGCTTATGGAATTGTAATAGGCATGTGAAAGTTACTCATTTCATCCAATTTTTGCATGTTCCTCCTTTCCTCAATTTTAAGTTCATTGATCTTTCATTTTGAGCACTGATATAGACTATTTAATTTTAGATGACTTTGAATTTTAATTCTCTATTCTTTTATCTATTTGAAGACAACGAAATAGTTGTGTTTTTCATCCAGAGAGCTTCATAGCAAACTATTCTTGAACTTTTGAGAGCTTATAATCCAGCAAAGTGGTCTTGAATCTTGTCGAGCCTCCTAACTTGAAGCAGAGACTATTATAGTGCTTTTTCTAAAAGAAAGAAAGTGCCATCTGCTTTAGTGGGAGAAATTAAAAGTCATTTTGGATGTTGGAAGATTGCTCTGTTGAAATTACATGCTCAAGCACTATAATTTTATATTTCGCACTTACATGTTACACAATGCGCGACATTCTCGTCTCTACAAGGACTAAAGAAAGTTAGATGGATGCAGCCTTATCCAGCGATCAGACCCGGCGTGCAAATAGGCTTATGTACACCTTTATGTACATATATTATAGGAGAATCTACGATGGGCTTTCTAGAGCTATTCTTCCTTGAAGTAGCTTTCAATCTTATCCTTGCGGCAAAGTACTTAATGGGGTAAACACATGTTCTTTCCTTAGAACTATTTCTTTCCAATAAATACCCCTTAGAATGGTGCTTTGGGTCCTACATTTCCTACTAGTAACAGTTTCCTTTATCACTGAGTCAAGTGGTGGCCTGTCTCCGAGTTTAAAAGAGTAGTCGATGCAAGTTTGAACACTAAAAAAAAAATAAAAAAATGGAGTCCCGCGGTTAAGTACATAACAGCAGCAGACATCAATATGAGGTAACTGAGCATAGGTAAGGTGGTATTGAAACTTCGATTTAAGACTATACAGCAAATTCAAACAGACCAAGTTATGTCTCAATATAGTCAATTTAAGATTGATCTAATAAATTTGGGATTGACCCCACATGGTTGGACCTCATTAAGTTATAAATTAACCTCATGGGATAGTAACTTTTTTTGGGTACGATACCAAATCGATACCATAGACGTTTCCTTGAAACTTTGCATAGGAATGATTGGTTTGAGGAATAATGAGAAATCATTGTTAACCAACTCCAAAGCATTGCCATTCTTTTCAGAAAGGGTTGTGGGGGTTCAGGTACTTGCATGGTCACCAACCTGTGAAAATGACTACTTTATTTTGCTGCAATTTATGTCTAACTCCCTCTTCAGTTTGGCATTAAGCACAGAGAATTCATGAATGGTGATTCTGCATACAGTTTCTGCTATTTTCTTCCCTCTTAATTCACCTTCTCTCCCACTTCTTTTGCTGTAGTGGGTTCGAGTCAGCTCGCACTGACCAGAGAGGAGCACCTCACATGCATAAAGAATTGGTATTTTGAACCCCAAGAAGTAGTCTAGTGCAGACATAAATGAACTGAATTCGAAATTATGAGAGATTTATCTCATGAATTCTCGAGGCTCTTAGCGTGGATGATTTGCTTTTGTTCGAATTGAGAAAATGATTAGTTGAGATAATGGGTAATTTGAATATAATTAAGCATGGATTTGTTTTAACCAGACCAAGGTTGACCATTAATAGTGAATGTGGGACGAGGTGACAATTGCTAATGACTTGTAGTGTGATTCTATCATTCTCAATCTCCTTTTGATCACACTCCTGATAGCCGAAAGTGAAGCCGTATAACAGTAAGAGCCAAGATAAAAGCGTGAGGGGCATGGTTTATGCCATGATTGGGTCTTTCTGAATCTCTTGTTTGGACTCATCATATGTTTATTGTGAGCTTAGTGTAGGCGTTGATACCCGTGCCTCCCTCCCCTTTCTCTCTTTTTATAGTCTCTTGAACGGACAAAAGAAGGAAAATTACAAAACGGGACAGTGAAGGGTCGCGAAATAGACTCTTGGTGAGATGTGGGGGTGTAACTTGGGTTAGACAATCCGATTTCAATCCGAGCCCAATCCGAAAAAATTAGGGTTTAAGCAAGAATTTTTAATATTTGGGTTGGGCTTGAGTCAAAAAACTTCAACCCGAATTCAATTTGAGTTAGGCTCGGATTAAGGGCTTGTGAACCTGAGTTCAATCTGAATCTGACAAATTAAAAAAAAATTATATATATATATAAAACATTAGCACTGATTTTTTATTTTTGTTTTATCGTTCTCTGTCTCTTGTTCTCTTTGCCTCTCTCATTCTCTCTCGTTCAAAACTTGGTTAAAGTTATTTGTTGTTAATTTAGGTGAATATTATGTAATATATGTATTATGTTTAGAATAACAATCCTATTTTGGGCTCTATCCGAATTGAACCCGTAAAATAATCCGAAATCATCCACCCGAATTCAACCCGAGGTAGGGTTAGGGTTAGGATTAAGGTTGAAAATTATATACCTAAAATTGAACTAGAGTTGATTGTACAACCCGCCCGAGTTGCACCTCTAGTGAGATGTCTATTCATTGTTACCAGATTCTGATGCCCTCTAATATTTTTTTTCTTACTATATCATCTATATTATTGAAGAGTCCACTTATATATAATCAGTTCCATTTTAATTCATAGTAGGTGATTTAGTAAGGGTAAAGATGGAAAAAAAATATTGAAGTTGATATCAATCCTAAACTACTTGAAGCGTTTTAAAGCATTTGATGAGTTTAGAAGTATCCATATATTGTACTAACAATAGTCTCTATACGTAGGTACCCTGAAATACCAAAAATTGATTATTGATCGTATAATATTTATATTTTAAATAATAAATTTTATTTAATTTTGTTTTCTTTAGTTACACGATTAAAATGAATTGAGAAAAAATAACAGAAATATCAGTGTTGATTAATGGACTTGTTTGACATTAAAGAGTATACAGATTGAATTGTTTGACATTAGTAGTCATCTAGAGAATACGAAGTTTTTGAGCAAAAAAAAAAATTATAATAAATTTTATATCATTGAATTAAAATAGTTGAAAATTGAATTATTCATAAGTATTATCTTACTTTTATAAATTACTAATTCAACTTCTTAATCGTAAGATAATGAGAGCCATTGAATGCTTGTTTGTTTGAATCACCTTTTGCTGAAAATTGGGATGTTCAAGTTCGGTGGTTTTATCTTCTTCAATAGGTTAATGTTTTAAGTGAATGTTGCCTTTAGAATTGGGGAATTGTGATGGAAGGAAGCATCTTGCAATTAATCCATGGGGGTAATAAGTTTGTACTTTGAAAGAAATGTGGGAAAATCATAATGAACTTTTCCCTACGATTACATTGCAATTATGATGGCCCAATTTTCACTCTAACTTATGTTGCACAATCTTTTCTATCTCTCTCTCTCACTCTCTCTTGTTGAACGGTGAGGGGTACTTTTCAAACAATTTATACGCATATCAACTAATTCTTTCTACAATCCAGTCGTAGACTTGTCATCCACGTCAGAATAAAATATTTATGGGGGATAAATTCCTCACGATCTGACCTCAATAATTCTCTCTCACACACACTCATAGAATGATAGACCTGTAGATAGGGCTGATACTCAAATTGAATTACTTGAGTTCGGCTCGTTTTAAGCTCAGTTCGTTTTTTAAACAAGTTAAGCATGAATAATTTTTTAAATTTGTTTAGCCTAAAGACTTGGCTCGAACTCATAAAAGTTTGACCCGTTTTTATGTAAAATAGTTAAATTATTTGAGCTCGGCTCAACTTAGACTCGACTGATTTTTGAAACTAATCGAACTTGAATAATTATTTAAGCTCGTTTAAAAATCGAACTCGACAGAGTCNTTGAAACTAATCGAACTTGAATAATTATTTAAGCTCGTTTAAAAATCGAACTCGACAGAGTCGGCTCAAGTATCAGCATTACCTATAGACCCGATACCCCCCTCCAATTCAGAATCTGCCCATGAAATACTCAGAATAAAAAGCGAATGTAGAGGAAGCTTGTAGACAGGGTTCTTGTCTCTAGTTTCCATGCTTCTGAAGTAAAAATAGCAATAAGCACCCTCATCCTAGAAGCAAATACTGATAGTGATGGACCTCCAATGTTTTTGCAAGAGGTTCCAGCTATATTTTCACAGTAAATCTAATTTGGAAAATTGGTTTTCTCAATTTTCTAAAATTCTAAAAAAATCCACATATATTTGTTGGAATCAATTTTTCTAAACTGGATTGAATTTTAGTAATTACTAATCAATGAATTTGCCACACCTACCTTTGTTTTTGAATTTTTAAACTTAATTACTCAGATAAACTTACCTTTTCAGATTTCAGAAAAATTAACGCTGTAAGATAAAAATCTAAGCATCGGTTTCAGAAAAATTAGACTAATCGTCAAAATGAACAGTGCCCTTATCTCAAAACCACTTAAGTTTCGTCAAAATGAAACCCTCCATGTCGCCATACCCTAATTATACATTACAGAAATGCATGACAAGAAGCCTATTTACAACTATCTTTAGAGAGTAACTGATATTAAGTACAGTAAATAAGGCGACATATAGTCTAATCCCAGCTCCACAGCTTTGCCATAGTTGAATCCTTTCATACTTTACAATGGGNAGAGAGTAACTGATATTAAGTACAGTAAATAAGGCGACATATAGTCTAATCCCAGCTCCACAGCTTTGCCATAGTTGAATCCTTTCATACTTTACAATGGGGTTTTGGCAACAGTAAACCCTGCTTGCTCTCAATGTACAAACAGTTGTAGCAATTTCAAGCAATTCCTGCTAAGCTTGTATGCTGAATAAGTTGNGGGTTTTGGCAACAGTAAACCCTGCTTGCTCTCAATGTACAAACAGTTGTAGCAATTCCTGCTAAGCTTGTATGCTGAATAAGTGATCGACAGTTCAAAGTTCTTCATTCTTCACAGGGGTCCAATTCTTACCTGCGGCAGTGTCTCTCCTAGCACGTAATACGAACCCAAGAACACATCCAACGAAAACTCCAACCAGGATGGCGGCGCCCTTAACAAACCATGAAAGTCTAGACTCCCTCTCACCCTTGGGCTTTAGTGTCACTGCCAGCACTACTACTACCACCATTGAGAACTTGGCCCGACACCAAAATCTCAACCATATCATGCACCTCGCCATCGTGGTTTCCCACATAAGAAAGTGTAAGTTTCTCCTTTGAAGCAACAAGTTTAGTGTATCCCCACTCACCCCCACGGTACAAAGATCGCACAGGCTGTGGGAAAATTGGGAGCTCAGGGTGGTCTGGTCGGGGTTCCCAGATGGTTTGCCNGCTTTCCTGTGGCGAATGGTCAAAGGTGTTGTATGGTGTTGCAGTACCCACATCTCCGAATAAGAAAGCTACTGTTTCGTCTGAGTCCNAGCAACAAGTCTAGTGTATCCAAACTCACCCCCACGGTACAAAGACCGCAGAGGCTGTGGGAATATTGGGACGTCAGGGTGGTCTGGTCTGGGTTCCCAGATAGGTTGCCCATCTTGTCCTCCCATTCCAATCACAACATGCACAGGGAATGCCTTCCAGTCCTCCCCCCCACTNAAATGCAGAATGTGGTATTTGTACAACAGAGAAGATTAATTGTTAGTAATCATATTTCCTTGATGGAGACTATTTAAACTAATTTTGCAAATGGGCTAAAAAAGAATGTGGCTTCTGGAATACACAACACGTTACAAGGAAACGTAACATCAACTGTACTATAACAGGCTTATTTAAGTCACAAAGAAAAGGCTTTTACTAGCTGTGGTGTACTGGAACCTGATCATATCACCAACTATGCAACCCAGGAAAGGCCAACCTGTTACTGATCTACGCAGTAGGATAGCACATAAAAAAAGAAATGTGCGTTGGTGCGTTTTTGTGTATATTTATATGGAAAGATTGAAGATTTGGTAATTAAATTTATAATTATATTGTGTCATTTAAAGTTGAATGATAATAGTGGTGATAAATTTATGAGTTTTATCACTGAGTAAAATTTGGTTGATTTTATTTATCGCTTAAAAATTGTAAATTTAATTGTGTTCTGTTAATTTTTTTTTTTTTGGCTTGAAGTATTTATTACATGGGAATAGGGTGAATTAAAAATATGATGGTTGGGTTTATAATTATGTTGTGTTATTGGATTAAGTAGTAGTAAATGTGATAAATTTATGAGTTTTATAAATGAACAAGGTTTTATTTATTATTTAAAGATTGTAAATTTTAATTGGTTACGTTAGTATTTTTTTTTTCCAAAGGCATTTGTATATGTGACATTGTTTTGGGGAGTTTTTATATATTTTTATGATAGTCCCATTAATATGGAGGATATGGTTGACGATATATTTTAAGTAATTTTAAAAGAAGAATGAGTATAAATATTTTTAGATCATTTTTTTTGAATTTGGATAATTGTTTTAAATTTTTTTGTTTGTTGTATAGTGCCTTCAGACACGGATAATGACTAATATATCTATATAATAAAATAATTAAATGGTTTGTCTTTAACTTTTTGTAGTTTAGATATTTTGAGAATTATTGATCCGACAATCCTAATTGGACTTTCATTCGTTTTATAAACTTTAAGACTCTTATCTTTAATATAACTCTCTCTTGCTCTTTAACTCATACACCCAATTCTCATTTGTATATAACTCTTTCTCCTGGATATTTTAAACACACTCTCACATCTCTCATATAATTATCTCTCTCTATTTCATACCTTTTTTAAACACACTCTCACATCTCTCATACTCTCTCTCTCTTAACATTGTTTGTCTTGACGATCATAATTAAACTACTTTAGTCAAAACAAATTAAAAACTTTCATCTCTCATATAACTCTATCTTCCTCTCTATTTCATATACCCAACTCTCATACGTATATAACACTCTCTCTCATACATTTTTAACACATTATCCCATCTCTCATATAATTATCTCTCTCTATTTCATATCTCTTTTAAACATACACTCTCACATCTCTCATACTCTTTCTCTCTCCATCTTTCTTAACTTTGTTTGTCTTGACAATCCTAATTAGACTACTTTATCCACAGAAATTTAAAGTCAAGCTAATCATCAATAAAAAATAAAAAAAAAGTGATACCAATTACTTCAAAAATATAAAAAAATAAGAGTCAAGCTAATTACCAATAAAAAAATAATAAGTGTTACTTATTATACCAAAAAAATAAAAATTTAAAGTCAAGTTAATTACCAATACAAAAAAAAATAGAACCAAGCTAATCAATAAAAAAATAAATGATACCAATTGCACCAAAAAAAAATTTTAAAAAATCAGAGCCAAGATAATTATCTATAAAAAATATTAAGTGATACCAATTGTACCAAAAAAATAAAAAATTCAAAGTCAAGCTAATTACCAATTAAAAAAAAGTAAAACCAATTGCAAAAAAAAAAAACAATATGTAAAACCAATTATAACATTTTTTTTCCTTATTTGCACCATTTTTTCCTTGCTAATGTTTATATTTTTTTGAATACTTGAATAGTGCAAAATAAACACCGAAACAATAAAAATGTCAGTTAAATCAAATTTTTTTTGAAGTGGTGAAATTTTAATTTTGTTGATTTGGTTTAATTGTAGTGTGAGAATATTTTTATAGAATTCGAAAAGTCACAGCAGAAGAGAATTTAAATCAATTGTCATTGTAGGTACAAGCAGATCTGCTAAGCAATGTTTGTTCGATCAGGCTTTTTTCTATTTTTTAGAAATTTGATTTGCAATTCAATGTGGTTAATTTGTTTGGTTCGATTCAGTTATTTAATTGTGTGTTTTTAATGACATTCGTTATTAAAATTAGACAGTCTATTCATTAGCTTTAGCCGGAGGTTGAAAAAAAGAACACTTATTTGGTAGAAAGAAGAGGTTGAAAAAAAAAACACTTATTTGGTAGAAAGAAGAGCTGCCATGAAAAAATTTATGACATGATAATTTTGTAATGGTATTAGTTTAAGTTCATGAGGATTCTTCGATTGTATTAATGTGATATGATTCTTTCTTATTTCAATTATTGAATTTTTTTTATTTAAGACATTCGTGGATCCCTCTTTGTTTGGCAATTTTTTTGTGTTAAAAGTATCTTCAGGCACGGGTAATGACTGATATATATATATACACATTATGTTACTGTTTTTGTTGAGTATGTTACTACTATTGTTTTCTTAAATATTAATATTCAATGTTATTATTATTTTTTTGTTTGTAAATATTATTATTTTTTGTGTTTAAATGTTACTTTTTTTTTTTTTTGTTACTATATGTATGTATGTTATATGTGTGTGTATATATATATGAGGGTGCGAAATAAATACTTAAATACTCCCATTCTATGTATGAATATAAATAGATATGAAAGAGAATTTTAATGTTAATCAAATTCTTAAAATTTAAAAGTCGTTAGTTTTCAAATTTATTTTAATTAAACATAACTACTTTTTATACAAGCTTCCCCTTATTACCAAATAAGTCCACAAAAAAAAAAAACTGGCCTCCAAATTTACCTAATTTTTATACTTCATAGCCTTTGGAATGGTATAGGTTTTGATAAGAATTTGCCGTTGAATATATGGTGTTGATTTGTAAATATACATTAATTACTCGATACCATGACAACCAATATTTACTCGATGGGAGTAAACTTATTTGCTATCCCTACTCGTTGGTAAGTAACCGAACGGAAAAAAAAACTCAATTTCAGAAAAATTAGACTAATCATCAAAATGAACAGTGGTCTTATAGCTCAAAACCACTCAAGTTCCGTGAAAAATGAAACCCGCCATGGTGCCATACCGTATTTATTTTACAGAAATGCATGATAACAATCCTATTTACAAATATATTTAGAGAGGACCAGAAATGAAGTACAGTAAGTAAGGCAAAACATAGTCTAATCCCAACTCCGCAGCTCTGTCAAAGTTGAATCCTTTCATACTTCACGATGGGGTTGGCAACAGTAAGGCTTGCTCTCAATGTACAAACAGTTGTAGCAATTTCAAGCAATTGCTGCAAGCTTATATACTGAATACATGATCGACAGTTCAAATTTCTTCATTCTTCACAGGGGTCCAATTCTTACCAGCGGCAGTATCTCTCCTAGCACGTGATACGAACCCAAGAACATATCCAATGAAAGCTCCAAGCACTAGGATGGCGGCACCCTTAACAAACCATGAAAGTCTCGACTCCTTCTCACCCATGGGCTTAGAGCCACCACCAGCACTACTACTTCCACCACCATTGAGAACTTGACCTGACGCCAAAATCTCAACCATATCATGCACCTCGCCATCATGGTTTCCTACATAAGAAAGTGTAAGTTTCTCCTTTGAAGCAACAAGTCTAGTGTATCCAAACTCACCCCCACGGTACAAAGACCGCAGAGGCTGTGGGAATATTGGGACGTCAGGGTGGTCTGGTCTGGGTTCCCAGATAGGTTGCCAATCTTGTCCTCCCATTCCAATCACAACATGCACAGGGAATGCCTTCCAGTCCTCTCCACCGAGGCCCAAGCTTCCACACGTGAAGTTGCTTAGTGGACAAAACCTCTCATACCTGTGAACATGACCCCACAATGCAAGGGTCACCTTGTTCTTCACCAAAAGTGGTTCTAGGTGCTCGAGCATTCTGTTCCTCAATGGGGCATCTCTAAGTTCATTGCTCGTTGTGTACATTGGCCTGTGTCCTTGGACGACCACAAAAGGGGTCTTTGCTCTATCAACTGATTCTAAATCATTTTTTATGAAGTTATACTGGCTGCTCTCCGGAAGGAAATTGGTTTCAGTTGATATATAAACAAAATGCACCACCCCCACATCAAATGAGTAGTAAAGGTTTCGAGTGGCTGGGGCATGTGTTCCAGTTGGTTCTGAAGAACTACCAGGCATGTTGAACCGGAGACCATATGGTACTCCACATTCACCACCCCCATCTGTCCCATACACTGAGTAGGACCATTCAGGTTTCCATGGCTGTAATGGCCAGTCATATTCATGATTACCGATACACACGTGGTAGGGAACCTTGGAGGCAACAGGTTCAATCTGAGCAAAAAAGTTGTCCCACAACCATGAGTAGCCTCTTGCATAGCTGATATCACCAATATGTGAGATAAGGGCAGGCTTGTCACCGAGAGCTTCAATATCCCGACTGATCCACTTCATGGTTGATATGCTTTCCGGTTGAGTACGGACAAAGGTGTTGTATGGTGTTGCAGTACCCATGTCTCCAAATAAGAAAGCTACTGTTTCGTCTGAGTCCCCATCATGTGACATGAAGCTGTAAGTGACACTCCAACCCCCAGAATCACTTCCAGCCTATATT